TACACCAAATAAAATCAAACCGTCAAGATTTAATCTAAATGGTATAGAGTTAAGGCTTTTAATTTTTGTATAAAAATTATTAAAAAAATATGTTGGGTCATCAATTTGGACAATTTATATTTAACACGGATGAGTTAAATTTAATAGAAAAAAATCTCACTCAAAAACACTTGGAGCCTATTATTAGCGAAAAAGGATTCTAAGATTCTCAATTCTCTCTACACAACAAGAAACCTAAATAAAAGTAATATTTTAGGGAAAAATACAAAACATAACCTTGTTGAGGGGAACTCAAATTGCTGCTTGTTAATTACTTATAGTGACTACTCAATATTTGAATGCATATTTGTTGCAGCAAGACCAACACCTATGAAAAATTAAACTAGGCCTCTCATGCTTTTAAACATGTTCATTATAGTGAATTTGGCCATTATGGGGTTGTATCCGTAATTTGAATATTTTGTGGAGGTCAGATGTTTATGTAAGTGTCTTTGAATATAAACTTGTTTTCGTTCACTTAGACTGCCTGCGGAACAATTTATAAAAATCAACATGTTTTCCGCCCTATTTTGTGATTATCGAGTGGTCATATTTGGCTGTATTATACATACGATGTATGTGATTGATTGGAATTATGCTTTGATGAGTATTGTGTGTAATACAAGGCCCAAGGTGGGCTAATGCCAGTGTGAGGTTTGGACACTAGATTGATATGTAAGTGTATGAAAGTGGGTGAAATGGTTTGGATGTCCAAATTCTTTATATGATATTGGATTAGGAAGGAACTAGAGTCATTAGCTAGTTTATAAAATTATCTATATGTGAGTTCTTGAATCACTTAAATCGAACATCACAATAAAAAGTTGTGCCTATTGAAAATTGGTCTAGAATTATTATCATGACAACAAGTTGATGTCATGCAGTGTGCGCCACAATTGATTGCAAGTTTACTATGGTGCATGGAGGTTGGCCACAACAAGATCTCACTGTGTCACATTCCGTGACATGTGTCTTTTGTCACCACAGGTTGTGTTTAGGTTGTATAATTTGATTGATTTGACTTTGTTGTAACTTATTTTAACTTTGAGATGGTTCTCATGCTTTCCAATTATATATTATCCTTTTTGTTTTTTTGAAATGTTGAACCATCTTTTACCAAATGATCTTGGGACCCCATTTTCTTAAGGAATTTTCTACCTGCGATGTAATTTGAATTCTCTCAACGACTTTTTAATTGGGGTTTATTCCTTTATTATTATGGTTGGCTTATTTAATTAAGGTTAATCATTTTTGCCATGGTAAACATATAAAATGATTACTTGTGTTTTAATTATCATGGTGGAGTTTGATTGTGGTTAAGTGTGTGGACAATTAAGTGACTATTTAAAATTAATGTAATATTATCAAATTTTAATTTTGTGGAAGTAATGATTATTCGTTATGCTATTTTAATTGATGTCAATGCATGATATTTGACTACCGTTTAAGTATATTCTCCCCCTCCATCGCAAGGGGAATTAAAGGCTAGTTGTATCCAATTAATAGATAAAAAAAAAAGATATATGTGAATAATAAAAAATATAATTATCAATCTTATAATTTTATCGGATCTTGCTTTTAGTTTTTATATTTTTTTCAATGCTTTTAATTTCAATAGTTTCTATAAAATTGAATGATGGTTGTTCTTTAGATCCTTAATGATATTAAAATACAAGGATTATAAAAGATTTAAAATGATGAAAAGAAATTACATGACTTAAAAGTAAAATATGATGAAATTATAGAAATCAATCATTATGTTTTTCTAAAAAAATATAATAAAAGTTATAAGATAATGAAAGTTACAATTCTAAGAATGGAGATAATGAGAGAGAGGATTGAGAGATAATTTAATTTAAAAATTAATAATTTTTTACTTACACTAGGACTAAATTGTGAAAACATAAATAGTTAAAATATTGGACATATTAATATTATCTTTTATGTAAATATATACTTAGTATATTATCTCAATTATTAAAATATTACATATTTAATAAGTTTTTAAATTTAAATATTTTTTCATAGAGGACAAATAGTTTCAATTACATCCTCAAACTAAAAAAAATGAAAAAGATAATTAAAACTTCATGTGTACTGTGGTTCGATGACATGCATTTTGGGCAAAACCCTCTCAATTCCTTGACATTAGTTGACTAGCATTTGATTACAATAATGTTTTAAAAATTTGGTTTAGACATCAAATCAAAAAGAGCAACAAATTGCAGTTCTCATGGTTCAATTGATTAGACCGACAATCTAACTAGTGATATAAAAATAATATTTACATACAAAAATGTAAAAATAAAACATTCATCTGTTGATAGTACTTGGGATCTCGATATTAAAAGTCAGATGCCTAGATCGCTAGAACTGGAAGCAGAAACATGTTGACACAAGCTTGCAATCTCAAAGCAAAACACTAGAGTTGGAGGCACACCGTTATGTCGCGACTCACAAGCTTTCGATCTCGATGCTAAAGGCTAGATCATAGATTATAGATTAGATTATGCTAAAGGAGAGATTAAAAATTGAGCCTAAACCGTAAAGGAGAGATCATAGATTAGAGAAGAGAAGATAAAAGAGAACTAAAGATTATAGAAGAAAAATTGTGAATATGAGTTATTGAACTTAAAACTATTTAAGTCAACTCAGGTTAATCCAATCCAAATACTCAAGGGGTTTAAATGGTTGAACCAAATTATTTTATTGAACAGTCAATAGTCAAATCATCTGGTTCGGCTTAGGTTTCAAGACATTGAATTATAGGCAATAATGGTGAGTTTTTTTAAAAAAAAATAAAGTAAGGGCATTTTAATAATTGAGACAAGAAACTTAATTATAGTTGAGGGCCTTGGGCACCTGAAATGCACGTATATCCCTTGAGGGGCCTTAGATGAAATATTTTCTTATTTTGTTCCGTCCCTATATGAAATTGGAAAATTGAGAAAAAAGTACCTCCAAAATAAATGATAAATAGATATTGTGAAATGTAATAATTGTCCTCTAGTTTGGGGAGATATTTGTCAATCAATTTTAGTGTGAAAAGTGTATTGTACCCTTATGGGAAAAAATCGCTGGACCCTCAAATTTCCTCGTCCTTTGTTCTATGGTGTTTAGTTGGGATTGCATCATCCCTCACCATTTTGTTCACAGCACCACCACCATTGACCCCAAACCCATACACTGGCAAACCCCTAAGACCCATATCTCCAACCACTCTTATGGAGTTATTCGCATTAGAGAAGCCACAAAGCCAAATACTCCTGCAAGAGCCGTCATTAGGCCACCCTGCAGAGCTGTGGCGTTGCTAGTGGAAGCTATGATGTGACCTTTGAACTGCGCCAGAGAAGGTGATAGGCGACGTAAAGCATAATCTTATTAATTTAAGGACAAAATCTTAAAACACAATAAAAAAAAATAAAAAAAATTATAATAAAAATAAAAAAATAAAAAAATAATAAAATAATGATAAAAATAAGATCCTTTAGAGTACCTACCTTTAAGGACTTCAACCTTCAAAAAACTACAAGAGTTAATTACACTTTTAATCACATCTATTTCTCACACAGGATGCTACCACAAAGCACTAAAACTTATAAGAGTTATAAACTCTAAAATGAATAATTTCATTCAACTTCTCTTCCGTTTATAAGAGGGGGCATGCTTAATTTATATAGGCTCATAGAGAAGACTATTTTCTAAATTTAAAATCTTAATTTTCTAATACTAAAAGGAGAAATAATATAAAATAATGAGAAAATATTCAGCCACGTAATTTAGGAGATGTGATCCTAAAATTATGGAATTACAAAACTTAAAAATTAATAATATAATTAATCCTAATCTTTAACTAGACTCAAAATAGAAAACTAAAACTAATCTTGCTCCTTAAGAAAGGGAGTCAAATTAAAAGACTATTAAAATAGGAAACAATTTAGGAGACAATTAAGGGATCATAAAATATTTAAAATCACTCTACCCTTGACTTCTTCACCAGGGTTTCATACTTCCTTGCTTGTAAGAAGCTCAACTTGTAATCTTCTTTACATTGGACTAAAGTTTGCATCTTTTAGACTTGACTCTTTATGAATTTGGATCTTAAACATATTATACATGTATAGATACTCTCCTTTGGGTTTAAGAGGAGTGCCCCAATGCTCTCCAAGCTCTTCTTGCACAAGACTAAACAATATTTGTTTCATGACTTTAGTTCCGCCTATTGTCATTAGACCTTCAATATGTTGTAAAGGGTCTTTAAACACGTTAAATTGGAAGTATTGGGCTCCTTACTTCTTACCTTAAGCTCCTTTCATGACATCATGCTTATAATTATCAGCTTCAAGTTTCGTTATCATTAACACCATATCATCCATGCCATGGCATCTATCAAAAGGTGCTGGAGAAATGTCCATGTGTCGGTTTCTGGACGTGAGAACAATCACAACAAGCATTTGGCCCTTCTCGCAGTGCCCATTTGCTCTGCTAATGAAAAAGAATGGCCAGGGATGGTCAAGCTTCACATTGGTGCAGCAAATCAACTAACACCATTGCTCGACTTCCCCCTTCACGGAATGGATGTACGATAGATGGGCAGCGCATAGGCCGAACGTGATACTCCAGGAGGTGAAGATGGAGGATTTTCGGATTGAGCAACAATGATGGCGGGGATTGGGATATTTGGGGATATGTTTGGGTTTGGAATCAATGGTGGTGATGATGAGAGCAAAATGGTGAGAGATGATTCAATCAAACAAACAAACAGAGAACAAAGGGTAAGGATTTTTTTTTTTTTTCCAGAGGGACAAAATAGACTTTTCACACTAAAATTATTTGACAGATAAATCTTTAAAAAATAAAAAATTATTATATTTCACAATATCTATTTATTATTTGTTTATTTTAATAGTATTTTTCCATCATTCTGCCTGTAAAATTCTCCTCAGTATTGAATCTACACGGAACGTGCGGGTTGGTGCCAAACTCGTTCCCGGACGAGTGACAACACATTGTGCATCGTAGACGTTTAACACTGGGAGTCACGCTCACGCCATTTGCATTACGCAGAGTGCAAAGCCATGTGGTGCTGCCATCTTTCACGCTCACCGTTCTCCGTCTTATCTTCTTCTTCTTCTGTTAGGGTTCTTCTTTCTCCTCCTCCTCCTCCTCCTCCTTCAAGGACTTCCGTGTACACTTCATCTATCTCCTGCTCTGCTGCTGCCATGGCGGCCCACGACGAAGGGCGAAAGAAGTTCTTGGACTTCCCCTTCGTTTCTACTTCTCACAAGAACCTCATGCTCGATCTTGTATCTGAAGTCGAAAATCGCTTCAATTCGCAGCTTCTTCCTTGTACACTCCCGCCGGACGTTCAGTACTACCAGAGTCAGACAGGTACAGCCCAAGGTTCACTGCAAATTCGATCAGGCCAGAATAACTCCCCTGTAATTTCCCTTTCTACTTTATACTATCAATTTTCGCAGAAACTTATGCTTTTGGGTTTGAAATTGGGATCCAGAAAAAGAATTTGGGGACCCATCCTAACCCAACTTACTCAATCCTCCCAAACAACTCATTAGTGACGACAGAATTGGTTTTTAATTTGTTGTCGATTTTTGTTTTTTGTTTTTTTTCTTGAGCAATCATTTGATATTCCATCTTACATAAGATTAAGAATGAGCACTGTAATAGTAGTATATCGAGAGCACCCTCATGAATTGTACCCAAAGAATGGTTTCACCATTACGAATCTTTGAAATTGTTGGGCATGAGCTTGTGCGTACATGACTAGTTGATTAGTCCAGAATCTTGAACTTCCATGAAAAAAGAAGTTATTTCTAAAGGCAGTCGATGCAGTTTTCTCCACAAAGAGTACGTTGTCATTGACATTCGTTTTTAAGGTGCCTACTCGTTTAGCCAAGTACTTTGTTATATCCTGAATTTGGAGTATTTCTGCCTTGAATCTCAGGTTGACTTTGTATTGGGGAGTTGGGTACACTCTGAACTACCAACCGGAGGATCTCTTGATATAACAAGTCTTTCAGGTTATCTAAATCTCTCAAACGATTCGCCAAACTTCGTGATTGAACTCATTCGGAGCAGTCCAACAATGCTGGTCCTCATTCTTGATCTTCCTCCTCGGAAGGATCTGGTGCTTTGGCCAGATGACCTCAAAACGTTTTATGAAAATACTCAGCTGGACAAACACAGGCAAGCTATTGAGAAAATCCCTGAAGTGAAGCCATATAACTCTTCCTCACTTTATATCCGAGCCGCTTCGTCTCCTACAGCTATCATGGTTTCTATTGGGACACGAGCTGATGATGGTGGAGAAGAACGCATGGAGGAGATCATCAGAGACCATTTGGATCCCATTTCAAAGGAAGTGTTGGGGATATGGTTGGACCATTGTGCTTGTGCGAAGAGAGAAGTAGGAGGAGCAGAAAGAGCTGATCTGAAGAAAAGGGATGGTATTATGAGAAGCAAAACGATTGAAATTGATCTGGGTTCAAGCTTCCCGAGGCTGTTTGGTCCAGAAGTTGCAAACAGAGTGCTTGAAGCCATGAGGGACTATTTTACTTGAAGATAAAGAAGTTACATATTGTCATATGACTTAGTAGTCTGGTTGGCTCAATGTGTGTAAATAATTTTGGCAGCCAAAAGTGGCACTTTAGTCAAGTAGCTCTTTTGAAACAAGTACTTTGGCTCCCTTTATTGTACGTGTCTATTTGACAGAGTCACCTGATATATAGTGGACTTTTATTAGGTGAACATTATCTACCAGATCATCTATAGATCAATCTTCAGATGATTGAGGATTAAAATTGTAGGAATTGTAGGATTAGTGCATTGTACTAGTCTTAATACTAATATAAATGCTGGAATCACGGTGTTTTGGCAAGGAGGTGGTGCAAAGCCATGTGGTGCCTCCATTTTTTAGCTTTCACCGCTCTCCGTCTTATCTTTTTTCTGTCAGGCATCATCGTCATCATCATCATCCACTTCCCACAAGAAGCTCATGGTTGATCTCGTCTCAGCAGTTGATGGTTGCTTCAATTTGCAGCTTCTTCCATGCAAACTCCTGCTGGATGTTCTGAACTTCCAAAGCCGGACTTGTTCTGCCCCAGGATCACTGCAACTTCCATCCAAAGATTATTATATCTAAAGTCAGTCGATATAGTTTTCTCCGCAAACATTATGTTTATTGACATTTGTTTTATGGTACCCACTTGTTTAACCAAGTACTTTCTCTGTTATATGTTCCTTTGAGGCATTTCTTCCTTGCATCTCAGGTTGATTTTGAATTGGTCAGTTGGGTACATTCTGAACTACCACTCTATCAGCAGGAGGATCCTTTGGATCCCATTTCAAAGCATGTGTTGGGGATATGGTTGAATCATTGTGCTTGTGCCAAGAGAGAAGTAGGACAAGCAGAAAGAGCTGATCTGAAGGAAAGGGGAGGTATTGTCAGAAGCAAAATTATAGAAATTGATGCAGTATTTTACTGTGTGGTATGTCTTGAAAATGGGGTCTTCTAAAATTAAACATGGACAGCAGTCAATTAATTTGATAAAGGATATTTTATATGTTCCCAGAACTTAAGTACATGTTTGGTATATAGAGAAGTGCTTTCTAGAAAGGAAAAAAGAAATGTATCTAGAAAGAAAATGAAATATATGCATTTCTCATTTCTTTTTTAGAAAGCACTTTTTTATATACCAAACATGTACTAAAAGAAAGCACTTTTTTACATACCAAAGATGTACTAAGTTTCTTGAGCATTTACAAACATACTTATGATAATTATGGTATTGGTGGATTTAACTTGAGTGGGTGCTCAATGGAGTACAAGGCCGCCACAATGCTCCTGTTGCAAGGGAGTGTTGATCAAGCCCCCTATAAGCTTGGTCAATGTCTGTTCTGCTTTATTACAAGTATCTCAAGAGTTTTCTAGTAGTAATTACGGTTCCTTTATTTCTACCGAAAAAGAATGGCATTGTAAAATAAACTATGCCACCATTCTCACTCTATTAAATCAAAGTATTCAAGGATGATAGTATGACAAGAACTTTCGGTTCAAGTGGCATTAAATCATTCTTGTGATGTTCATATGATTCGAGCTGCATCTGCAAATGTTTTGGAGTTTGCTAAATAAAAAAAAAAAAGATGATAGTGTGAAATTTGATATTGAGAAAGAGCCTGAACCTTCTCAATGTGAAAAGCCATACTCCTTGCCCCTTAAATCGTTACAATTACATGCTCTAAGCCGCTTTATTTAATTAATCCATACAGATCATTGAGGACCATCACTAGTTGTTTTCACATATAGATCCAAGCTCTCCATTTGTTCATCGATGAATATAGTAGAACACATGGGCCTATTAGATCAAGCACAAGAACGAAGCATCGAGTGCGTTCACTCACATCACACGATGAGCTGAAAATCAATTTGATGGTAAGAAGAAGATTTTGCAAAGTGACTGGTGGAAAATTTCAGGGTTTCTCACTTTATGCAAGAATCTGCTAGTTTATTTGGTCACCCTTGTCCACACTGTTCGCCATAGTTCATAGAATGGAGAAATTCTTAGATACTCCCAAAGCACCACAACATCGTTACCCTATCCAATAAAAATATAAAATAGCACCATCTCATTTTTCCCCCCCTCGTGTGTCAATAAAATAACAATCTTCTCTTCAAGTCCTGATTATAGTATCACCAAGTCAGGGTCCATCGAGTTTAACATTGAATCTTTTCAGAGTTAGTTTCTAATTATGCGGCCAATCTCAAAAGAATCATATAATTCAACAAGTCCTAAGGAAACAACTTTAGAATATTCCGTTCATATCAACACTGATGAAGGAAATCTAGTGGTAGATTAGAGGACTTTTGTTCACAAAATGGCTTCCAAGAGTAAAGTGGCATCTACAAGTGCAAGTATCCATTTTACAAATCTTTCCTGAACAAATTGCAATGACTTTAGTGGGGGAAAATTCATGGTGTCTCAGTTTAATGCATTTAGTTAAGAATAGCATTTCGACTTTATCCCTTAAGGTCAAGAACAATAGATTCTTATTTCACTCACAATGTTAGATTTTAAGAGACAAAACCAACGACCATTAAAATCATGTGAGGAGAGCTACTGTGTGTTTAAACCTGAACAGAATTCATTTCAAAATTAGTCGGTATTATCAAATGGATGAGAAAGCAAATCAGAGCTCAGGATGCGTTGGGATCATTCAGTAGTAAGACAAATATTCCATTTTGCATTGGCAACAGGTCAAGAGAAAAGTGTCAACTTTATGCAAGAAATCAACTATAAACTGGATGGTTCATTCTTTGCTCAGTACAAAGAGTTAGACTTGGCTCTTTCTGTGACAAGTTTCTATTGTTATGTGCTTCACCTAAGCCTATTTTTCTTCCTTTCTCATTGACTCCTCCCGCTCTTCTCTAAAGAAAGAGGGTTCAAGTTCATCCAAGCATTATGCAGATGCAGTAGCACGTAGTGAAAATTGCTTCAGACCTTGGCTTCCATGAAATAAGAACAAGCAACGAGATGCGGTTCATTTCTCCAATCACACATGGATTCCACTATGTGGACTCATCAGAGACAGACACAGCCAGAAGCCAGAATCACCCAGACCATAGAAACAGAGTTACCTAAAGAGAAGAACCAGAAGAATGGCCATATCAACTCAAAGTGACTGGTAAATGAGATGGGGGTATACTGGTATCTCTTTTCAGGCCTTATTCTGAGCTCTGACAAAATCATTGTTGGTTATCTGGTAATGTGCTGATGTGATTGATGCCTTCGGAAAACTAGTGTTTTATGCATAGGAAGTGTCAAGGTTATACCTGATATTTCAATGGCATTGGGTAAATGTGTGTATTAACTATCAAGTGGATGAAATTCAAGTCCTAAATCTAACACTCTCATGCATTGAGTTGTAACAGTATTACTTCATTAATGGTAGCCTTATAATTAATATGTAAATATCATTTGTGCCTTTTCGTTTAGCTGCCAAATGACTTCATAGGCCAACTAATTTAACAGGAAGGTAAATTCTTTTTTTAAAAAAATAATAATAATAAGAGCATGCAACCCCGTGTTCTTGAATTTATTAGTTGATAGAAGAAATATGCATGATCTCCATAAAATTGATAGATGTTACAAATTAATTCCTTTTAAGTGAACAATATCAACATATTGAAAGAGCATTCAAATATGTACAAAACTGATTTGATGGTTTAGCTCACACTCTTTCCACCCAAGTCCAGTGAGGATGATTTCCATTTTACAGAGAAACTGCAGTAGCATCATGCAACATCGTCTTGATAAACAAAAAATAAAATGAAAGGTATCTTACCTAGTCCTGAGGTAAAAGTGCTAACCAATTGTTGATTTCTCTTAGCTCGACTGTTTGTAGCAGCCATAGGCAATATAAACAGACACAGCAGCACAGACAACAGCAAGTGCTGCGTAGGTATCTTCGTGCTCCCAGCTATCAAGCCACGTCGGCACGGAAGGACGGAGTTTACGGGAGGCTCCTTTTCTGCTATTAAATTGAGAAATCAAGGTCTCACCACTTTCATTGTCAGCAGAGAACTTTGCCTCGGTCTCCATGGCATCAGAATCATTTGTTTTTTCCAGTAACACATGGTTCTGACAGCAGGAAGAGCCTCCGCTCTCTTGGCAGCATCTCAAAAAGTTATCTTCTTGACTTCCATAAACATCACTGCTTATCTCGTGATTCTTCATCTGCATCAACACTTCCGTGCTTTCTTTCAGCTTAAGCCTTTGTTCTTGGCTTTTCTTCTGTTCATCTTGTGTTATACCCATCTGGCCTCTAATGACAATATTCATAGAAGTTTGCATCAAATACAAGTCAGCATCTTTTTGCAACAGTATATAAGTGCCATCAGCACAATCTTTTATCATCTGTGGAAATCTCTAAAAGCCAACATCAAATTCGGCAACATAGTCCAGAACTCGAGTTCCAGATCCCCGGGGGGAAAGGGGGGGGGCCTGATGTGTCACACCCAAAAGCCGATACTTTTCAAACCTTCTAAGAATAACACGCTTCTGGTTTTTTTAAAGAAAAGAAAAGAAAAGAAAAAATGACAAGGAAAGAAAAATGCTATTTGAAATTCCACAAAGAAAAGTAAACCTAAAGATTATCCGTGAGTAGTTTTTCAGAAGTCAAAATAGATTTCCCATGGGAAGGTTGTTGAATGAGAAAACAAACTTTAAACTCGTAATTTATCAGTGGAAAGGGGCATGTATATCCATAAGATAAGAGAAGAGATCATTTTCAAAATCAAACAGAAAAAGGCCCCATCAAAATAGAAGTGGAATGAGGGGGAAAAAAACTTAGACAAGCTATTGGAGTAAAAGAATTTTTTATATGTTAAAGCTATCAACAACTTCTTACTTATTAACCTTAAATTTCATTAGTTGGCACTTCTGTCATCTTATATTATTTTTTGGAATTTCTAGATATTTTGACAAGAACATGACAACACATCCTCTTATATTACACCAGCAGTCTTGCCTTAGAAATACTATCTTTCGAAAACCAGATACAAGGTCAACCCCTAAATCCTACACCCCCAAAATAAGAAGTCCCGCCAGAGAAACCTCCAAAGCTATAGTCCTCTAAATCATATATTATATAACTGAGAAACTAATCTGTTTATGTAAGCTGCACAAAGAAACGATATTAAGAGTGATTACCTCCACAGTGAGTCCAGAATCTCCCCTCTTATGATATGCTGTTGAAGCAATACAGGCACATCATCTGGAGCAACATATCCATACCTGCAAATTTAAGATAGTAAGAATAGTACCTGATAATCAAGGTAAACAATGTTACAATGGTATTTGTAGATTTTGAAGAAAATAGAAAATCCTAACACTAAATGGAATCCAATGGTTAGGCGTGTGTTCTCACCAATGTCCAGTGAGTTTTCCATTGATACTTGATCCAAATATGATGACATTTCCAGCATACTTATGTCCTCCGATGTGTGAACATGGGCTAACAAACACTTTATTTTGAAGACCTTGTAACTCTATCTCTTCCCTGAATCTGCTCACCAAGACAGGTCCACAAACCCCACATCTACGATCACGGGATCCATGTGAACAAACAAATACATATGAAGTTTTTAAGGCTTCAGGAGTTCCAGGAAGCCATTCGCCATCCTTCACAAGAACTTCTTCAACAAATGTTTCAACATCAAAATGTGTCAATCTCCTGAAAATTCATTAAATCGTAGGTAACAATTTAATGAATAACAACATAAAACCTTCATTTTGGATGAAAAGCAACACAGAACCTTTATAGGTGACCAGAAGTTGCAACAAATAACTTCTACAAACCTGTATCTGATCATATCTGGAAAGATTAATACATCTCCATTTGATGTTTCAGTCCCATCATGCCCCTCACATATCGTTAGGCGAGTCTAGCAAGCAAAGAGACAAGTCTGAGATAATCAACCACATTCAACAAAAAATTAAATGAGTAAAAAGAAAAATGAGAAGAAGAAAGAAATATTTTCAAACGGTGCACAATAAGCAGATGTCAAGCAGTTGATAATCCAACTTACATAAAACGTCACACAACAAACGTCAAGTTGTTCATACATAAGGTTTAACTTTCAAGTCTCAATCCTTTGATCAGAGCATGCCAAAAGAAAATTCTGAGGAATGCACCTAGCAAAAACAAAATCAAAAAGGAAAAGCCAGACCCTTGAATGTGAATTGGCGCTACTCAAAGTTAAACAAGACATTACAAGTAAACCCGTTCCTCAAACTATAATCCCCGGACCTGACAGCATATTCTATAACACGGCCACAACTCACCACCTCCCCGAACTCACCAAGAGGAAAAAACAAAAAAGAGAAAAGAAAAGATCGTCATCAATAGCTCCAACTCAAAGAGATATACTAGACATAATCAACCTTAAAAAAAAAAAAAAATCCCAATTTTGTGAATTCAACGACAATAAACCACAAGCGTTTAAAGATTAAGAAATTTCTTTCTTGCAAACATTTCAAAATTGAAATCAAGCTCCGTGGAAATGGAGTACCTGTTTCTTCATATCGTTGGTCCTGGCCACGACAGCGGCATAGAGCAACCTAGGCAAGCGATCGAACTCGGCAGCCTCAATGCGAGGAGGCCAAACCCCAGGGTTCTTGTAACAAAGAAAGATATGGCGTTCATAGAACTCAACGGTCCCAACAAGTATACTCTGCCAGAAATCAGGTCGAGAAAAGCCGAACTCGGCATCACTGTTGTTGATTCCACCATCCCCGCCGCCGAGCAGACTGTCGCTCTGCAAACTCCCAGTGGCACTCCCGATAAGCGAACTAGGTTCGGTAAGGTAGCTATCGAGTTGGTCTGAGAAGGTAACAGGGGAAGAAGACGATGAAGGGGTCGTGAACGTGAGGGCTTCTTCTCTGTCTCTATTGCTGTTCATCATCATTGAAGACATTGAAGTCTGTGCCAACAGACAAACGAGTGAAGTGTGAAGAGCAGAGACTCTTCGCCGGTGCGCAAGGAAGAGACTCGAGAAAAGAGTGAATTGTTTTGAGGGGTTTTTAACATTATTTGGAGAAGAAAGCAACATTCCTGTGCTATGGGAACTATATTGTGGCAGTGGAATCGTGCCACGACTGGGTGATGTGACACGTGTCACTTGGTAATTCATTTCCTTTTAGGTGAAAAATTAAAAATCACATTTAAATTTTTTTAGAGTGAAAAAATCACATTTGATTTTTTTTAGGGTAGAGAAATCACATTTGAATTCGTCCTCACCTAAGGACTAAGGTCACCAAATTTGTAAATTTCCTATTTAAACGGAGACTATGTTTTTGTCCTCAACTTTAACTATCATTTTTTTCCAATATGTTAATTTATTGTAATTTTATTTCAAATATAATAGTAAAATTCCGGATAAAAAAATATAATAGCCAAGTGATTTTTTTAAAAAATTATTATATCATGCATGACATTAATTTGATCAATAATTAAAAATTTATTCATATACACGCATATGAAATTGTTAAAATATATGATTAAATAATTAAAATATAAAGTATCATCCTAATTTAATTTGAATATATTTTAAATATAAATTATTAAAATTAAATTCATATATATTGATAAATTATCATAGAAAATATAAAAAGTTCAAAATAGAGTAACTTCTTTTTAGTATTCTTTGTTTTCTTTTTTTATTAATATTAGATCTTGCTTTTTCAATTTTTGTCTCTTTTAATTAGGTCATATCACTTTTATGAACAAAGTTATACATAATATATACTTAACTTGTTTAACTTGAAAAAAAATTAATGAACTTGACAAGTTTAACTAAATTTATAAGTTAATTGACATAATTTTATAAGTTAGAAACATTAAAATGACAAATTTGTAAATTTAATTAAGTTTATATTTAATTTGAGTTTACAAATAAGTTGATGCAGTTTTATGAGATAGAAACATAAAAAAGTTAAAATTGAAAAATCAACATAAAAATTTGATAACTATACATATCACAGTAGTCAAATAATATCTATAAAGCCAAACCATATATATTTTTTCATGCCATGCACATGAGAGATAATAACATAAAAAGATCTCAAATACTATACTTACCCTTTCAGCATATAGAGAAATATTGTAAGAATAAAAAATGCACAAAATGTCCCTTTGGGACATCCGATGAAATTGGAACGATGCAAAAAAAATTAGTATGGCCCCTGCGAAAGGATGACACATACAAATTAAGAAAAAATGAACAAAACTTGAATGAAAGAGATCATACCAAATTGGTTCTATAATAATTGGTCCTCTTTACCTCATACCTTTTTGTCTCTAAAATGCTGACATCTTACACATTGTTCTCAAATAGAGATGGCAATTGCCATCAAGAGCCTCTTGACTCATTAACAACCCACACCTCTTTAGAAGGGGAAGGATGTAGATTCTATACCTCAGGTAGTGAAGGAAGAGGCCGGTGTGTGACTTGTGAGTATGATATTGCAGTGATTATGTGCATTTCCCTATATGAAAAAGAGGGAGGTCAGATAAGTACGAGTAGGTTTTTGTAAAAGGCTGACAATAGCAGAATCAAATCAAGTTGGTGTCAAGTGTACAAAAACTGAAAAAAGAATTGTATGTTCCTCTCACATTCATGAGCTGCACAAAATATAAGAAACTTTCATACGAAATTCTGCCCATCTCAAGGTAGAGATCTACTGTCAACCTGTTCTTTTTACCGTTAAAAGATGCTGCTAATTTTGGGCTTGAGTACTTTCTTCGAAGCTGAAATCTTCTCTTTCCCAGAATTTTGTACATCAACAGTCATTGGAGGTGCATTTTGTTTTTGAATCCTATAATGCTGTGGATGTGATTCTGATGACATCTGTGTTTCAAATATTCCAGATGCAGCTGCTGCATCTTTCTTCTGCTCACAATCACGCCACCTTCGAAGTTCACTCTTCACTGCCATACTAGCTGCTTCAGCCATCTCAGCCCTTTTCAAGGCCTCTTGTGCTGTTGCTTTCATATCATTGATTCCCTTCTGAGTTGCCTCTAGCATTTTAAGAGCCTCATTTTCACTAGCGTTCACTGCTTCAACCTGTGCCATGGCAGCAGCCACTTTCATGTCTGCTAATTTATTGGACTCTTCAAATTTATGACTTAACAACTCGAACTCCTCAGTTGAGATTGTAACTTTAGTATCAGATTCAGAAGTTGTGGAACCTGCAGCACTAGTAATCTCAGATAAGACCTTAATATGATCAACGGCAGATGCTTCTGCTGCTTTTGCTACTGCTGCTGCTTCCCGAGCTAGTATAAGCTTTTTCTCTGAATCTTCAAATGAAAGTTTACTGACTTCAGTTTTCTTCTTCAGCTCGGAAGCCTTGTTCTTCATATCATCCGCATCCCGTCGTGCATTTTCAGTTTCAGATGACAACTGGTTCAGTGTCAAGATCATTTCCTCAGATGAACCTCTGACTTTAGATTCTTCAGAAAAGCAGGCTTCATACTCGAACCTACTTGCCTGAAGTTTGACCTGCAGATCGCCAACAATGGATTCAGTTTCTGATTCTTTGTCCTTGGATTCAGAATGCTCTCTTGCCACATTCTTTAGTTCCAGCTTAAGAGTCTGCACCAAGCTTGTAAGAGAGATTTTTTCTTCTGCTACTTCCTGTAGTGACTTCTTAGCATCATCAAGCTCAAAAGTGACACTTTTCACAGAGTCCAATCCTAATGTCTTTATATTTATCATTTCCTTTTGAATAGCCTCAATTTTATCCACTGTCTGAGCCAGCTCGGCTTCAAGATTTTTGGTGAGATCAGGGTTGACATCCATCTTCATAGCAGACAATTTCTTTTGTGACTTATCAAGGGTAGCCTTATATGATTGTTCTAAAACATCTTTCTCAACTGACACCTTTGCTCCTTCTTGTTCCTGTTCTTGCACAGAGTTAAGTTTCTTTTGCTCTATGGACTCCTGTACAGCTGAGATTTCTCTAGACAGCTCAGATGCTCTTTCAGTGTCCATCTTCATCGCATCCTTAACTTCTGCCACTTGCCTGAAAGCAAAAACTCTTGCTTCAAATGCTGAATTATAATCCTGGAAAACCTTCCACAGTTCTTGCTTTGCCTCACTAAGTTTTGTAACAACGTATGCATGCCTTTTAACTACTGTTTCTAACTCCGCTTTGCAAGAACCATTCATTTCGTCTAGTTTGCCACCGTTTGCTTTGTTAAGCTCTTTCGCTTGACTCTTTGAGGCTTTTGTTACCTTAATTTCTAACTTCTGTTACGTTTGGTCTCCGTTGTTCTGTTCCCTCGTTCCACCGAGGAGGTGCTTGTTTAATCCTGGAGAACTGCCGGACGTCGGACGGTGTGCCGAAATAATTCTTAAGGACAGTGTCCTTCCGAGCACGACTCAAGCAACTAATCAGGTGTCACTGTACACGTCTGCCGCCGGTGTAGCCAACAAATTCACCAAGAGTTTTTAGCTTGTGTGTCAAATCATCAACAGTTCTTTTAGCCTTTGCAAGCTCCACTAAGGCTTCAGCCTTGGTAGTTTCTACAATTTCTAATTGTTCTTTCAATGTGTTAAGGTCTTTCCGGGCTAAGTGAATTTGGGACTCATTGGCAAAGAATCGCTAGAGAAAACTAGAATACGAGGGGAAAAAGGTTAAGTTCACGACAAAACATGAAGAAGAAAACAATAACCAAATAATTTAGGGGTGAAAAAGGGTTTGCGCAACAGTTTCCTATTGGACATTGATTCCCTCGTTTTTATTGTCTGGTAAGGTGATAGTTTAATATAATATTTCTGTCTTTGGCAAAAAAAAAAATATATATATATATATATATAATATTTCTGTGAAAAAATAGCATTGACATAGTCTCTTCTGAAACTTGGCGTCATGATTTGAAAGCAAATCAATCACCAAGTAAAAAGAGAGAGAGAGAGAGAGAGAGAAAATATTCATGTAAACTTAATATCTTCCAACGAAGAATTCTGAGACTGATCTTCTCATAATATACAGAATCAAAGTTTTCAGATTATTCGACGAAGCTAATCAATTATCTAGAATTCCAGACCTTTACAGCTTGAAGGTCAGATGGGGGACCATAATTGTTTTTTTTTCATAGGGTCGAAGACAAAAGTTTGGATAGTATCGAACTGATTATGATTATTTAAAGAACTAATAACACCAAAAAGGGAAAAGTGTTGGGAGCAAACTAAAACAATTTCATGTTCCATATTGCTGCAAAGCCACAGAAAAACCTGATTCGGAATGCAGATTGAGAATTTTTTTTTTTTTTTAAGGGATGAAAATATTAGTATGGCATCCTTTCGTGTTGCACAGAGCTCCATTGATCATTCTCCTTTAACAATGGAAAACGCACGCGTTTTCCTCGCTTATATTAGATAATAAGGGACTTACTGCAACGAGGTTCAAGATCAGGAAGTTTAATTGAAATTCTTTTCATATTAAGGTTGACAATGCAATGGGAGTCGGGAGATAAAGAACATGGTGAGTGAGTGCAATTTTCCCTAACCTATACAATTACAAAAAGCACAATTACCTCTGCAGAATGAGGTTTCGCCTTCTTAACAGCAGGTTTTTCCTCAAAGAAAGAACCTTCATCATGTCGAGTGACAGCATCTTTGACAGACTGGAAAGGTGGACTTGTGTTGATCTCTATAACCTCTGTTTTCTTTGGATTAAGAGAGTCAGTAGCATTCTGCCAGGTTTTAGGGACCATTGTGTGTTATATTCAAATAGTGTACCCTTAAACTGAACCTGTTAAAAACCCATGTCACAAGAAAGGAATCGAGAGTTTTTATCCAAAAAAAAAAGAAAAAACCAAAGAAAGAAAGAAAGAGAAAAGAAAGAAAGAAAGGAATCGAGAGAAAAGAATTCCATCACAATATGCTGGTAACGTGATATAGATAGTACAAATGAGATTCAAACTAAAAGACCTAAATGCTATCTACCCCGCATTTTGAATTCAAAGGCTTCTCAGCTCAAACTATGGTTCAAACTTCAAATACAAAGAAAACCAAGTAACGGACAAAAGATCGCACTTCAACAATATAATACAGAAGTGTGACGGAGTAACACAATCTGAAGTCGCCCGACGCATTAAAGAAGTAAAAGGCTTATTAAACAGCCAGAAAATGACAGAAACCCACAAGAGAGATAAAATGACAAACAAGCATGCTGAACGAAGCAAACGTCTTGTTCCAGAATGTGCAAAGAGGGACACGCATGGAACTAGCTAATTAGATAATCCTAAGGAAACCCGCATGATGAAAGCGACATCATGAATCCTAAAATCAACAAGTCCAAGATCAGAAAACCCATTGGAACTTACCTCCCTTACATTCGTCCAGCTAAACATCGATTCTGGCAATCATCAGTGATGATCATGATCCTTCAAAAGTGAAATACTCCAAAATCTCAATGGCGAAGCCAGAAACAGAACAAAAATGTTGGGCAAGCTCTGACTGAAATCGCAATGAAATTCCTCAACCAAAAAATTACTGTTTATGGCATCGGAAGCACCTTCCTGAATTTTCAAGATGCCTTCGTTACTGAATAGCAGAGTAAGATTTCGGCATCGTCAAGATACCAGCAATGCGGGAACAAGAGAGAGACGGGTATGAAGTTTGAATCGAACAGAAATTTTGTAACAGCAAGTCTTGATCAGAGAGATAAAGGGGGCTAGAATCATATGCATATTTTTCTGATTCAAAACTGTTTTCACTGGAAAATTTTTGTTGTACGTTGTGGACACCAGTGCCCTGATCGCTACGTAAAATACTGGATTACAATGTTTGAAGAGCATTTATTTTTTATATTTTATTATTACATCAAATCAAAATACAATCTAATGCATAAAACTCGGATCATATGATTCCAATTAGTAAGAACTCTGTTGGCCAAAAAAAAAAAAAATAGTAAGAACTCTGATTTATTTCATGAAAGTTCCTTTATTTGTGCGAAAATATGTTTAGGTCCATGGAGCATATTTATTTATAAATAAATCTTATGAAATTAAAAAACTGTAATTAAGCCTCATGACACATGAATGTAATTCAAAATTGGGGTGACAAAAATAATGCTCATATTAAAAATGCATTATATCAATCAAGTAATTCACAATTAATTCATCAATAATTTACAATTATAATTTTATATATCTAATAGTTAAATTGATCATGCACTATGAGTTTAATATTTTAATTGTTTACAACTATCTTATTAATAATTTATAACTATCACTCCAATATTTTACAACCATAACGTCTCATATTTAATAGTTAATCAGATTATACATTATTAACAAAGTTTACCACTAATTATTTATAACTACTTTCATAATTTACAATTATGACTTAAACTTTTTATAACTATAACATCACATATTCAATAAGTAAGATCAGTGTTATCTTTACACCTCAATTTTAAATTATACTTAACTTTTTACAACTATAATTGTAATTTTTAAATTTCTTAAAACTCATTTTCTCTAGTCCTATTTATAAGACACTTTTTAAAAATAATTGCTGATCCAAAATATAAAACATCTTGTGATAATTAAACTACTTTTTTTAATTTTATCTCTTTTTAATTAGCATAAAAGTATTTAATATAGTTGTATTATTATTTAAAATTAAAGGTAAAAATGAAAATATCTTTCACTTTTTTACAATATCAAAAAGAAAAAAAAACTAACATTTCTTTATAAGTATAACAGTTGAACATGTTTTATAATAAAGATCGAAAAAAATATTTGTAAATAAACCCACATTACGAGACCTATTTATAATTTATTTATTTATTTATTTTTTGAAAATTTACTTTGGCCTCAAACTTTCGATTTCTCACCAATATTTCATTTCAGCGCTTTGGTTCTTACTTATTTCATGAAATATCAAGCGAGCGTCATTTTCCCGTTACTAGTAATACGGGAATATGGTGAGAAAGAAATTCATTTAGTGGCTAGAAATGATTAAAAAAAAAAGGAATGGATCAAAGAAATAAAAAGAAAAATTAAATGATCAAAATAAAAAAAAGATCAACCATGTTCATTAGGAGGAGAGATAATTTAATTTATAAAGTTATAAGTTATGATTTTCATATTTCTGCTATTAGATTTTCTCATGAGAAAGATAATACTAAAAATAAATGTGCAATCAACTTATTATACTAAAATTGAGACTTTATTTTTGTTTTCATTTATTTAGATAGTGTTTGAATTGATGTATTTGAATTTAAATTTTAGATTTAAAAATCTTATATTTAAAATACATGTATCTAAAATTTTTTATTTGGATAGTATAAAAATTTTTAAAGATAAAAGAAAGATGAATTGAGATTTGAAACAAAAACAAAAATTTGAAAATGATGAACTTACCTTCATTCTTTAATTAGAAAGAGAAGAGAATAAGACATAAGAGGAATGATGAAAATAATAGAGATATCAATAACAAAAATGTAAAGAAAACGAGAGAATTGAAATAACTAGGATTTTAAATAATCAAGGTCTAAAGAAAATTTAAAATTTCAATTAAGTTATAATAAAGCATGCAAGCGCTTTTATATATTCAAACGGAATATTGCATTCAAACGCACCATTAATTCATTTCATTTTTATCCTTTTCAGGACCCATTTTTGGGCACTTTACCTTCATTCATGGACTGCATGGAAGCTTTCCATTTGTCAGTGCAAACTCCATTGAGATAGCCTTAGGGAGCCAAGATACTCTTGGTACTGATTTTTGCATCTATGGTCATCCACCCCCTTCTAAGGCAGTGGATGATGATAATATATATATATATATATATAGAAATAGAATGAGCTAAGTGAGAGCTAGATTCATGTAACATCATTGGCTTCTCTGTTAATTTCCAAAAATAAATAAATAAATAAATAAAAATTCTGAGAATGTAGATACAAGCGACACATTATACATCCTCGTTATTGATGTCACTGTCATCATCAAGCTCGTTGAACTTTTCTTGAAACTAAATAACTTGTATAAAAATTTTAATATCATAATATTGATGAGATGTAAACAGTACAGCTTAGTTTTCAGACTTTATAAAATACACATGACCCGCACTAGCTCAAGTGATTGCCCATCAATGTTGACTACAAGCTGATCCCAAAGAATCTCACCGATTAAAGTTCGTTAAAGGAGATGCCATTAACATGGAAGGTTAAGTTGCTCAGAACACATCAAATAGTAACTGATATATGGAGGCTCCGCAGGTACAAAAGGGACTCGTTTTTATGAACCAAGAACAACTGTTAGGGCCTATCCATGGGAACAATCAACTTATTAACAATGATCAAGTCATGAAAACAATAACAAGCAGCCGAAATCCACTGGATGAGGTCAGTACTCGTCAACAATAACAAAAACTTGAAACATACAACCAATAGAGATGTGGTATTCATGTAATTTAGTCGTGCAAATTGAAGGGAAGAAAAAATCAGCTCCATTCACCTGGACAATAGACTACACAAGTTCCTACACTACTAATCGACATGATGAAAAAAAAACAAGACAATTGACACAATGATCATCAATAAATATACAAATACTCCATTAATGGAAAACTAGGTTTATCTTCAAGAACTTACAACACAATATCATTTTTGGGCATCCATAGCCGGACAAGTCTGTCATAGAATGAGCAAGTAGCCACGAGAGGTTTCTTCTTCCCTCCACTGTGGATTGCTTCTCTTTGCCAGTCTGCTCCATATGCAAGTGAATCATGCTTCTTGTAAGTTTCCAAAACTTGAGTTTCCTCTCCTTTAATGGCAGTAATTGCAAACCCATTATGCATACAAGCAGCCAAAACCAGGCCTGGAATGACGGGGTGATGTTTCACCCTCCAAACTCCTCCACCTAAGCAAACTGAAGTCTCATTAATTGGCTTCGAAATTGATCTTAAATCCCACACTCTCAAGTATTCATCGTAGCTGCCAGTTAATAAGCTATGGGGGTCATGGGGACTCTTTGCAATGCAACAGACACCCATCTTATGCACTTTGGAGTTATGAAACACCATTCTAGAAGGGCTATCACGCAAATCCCAACAGCTGAACTTACAGTCATCAGAGCCAGTATATACCAGATTTGGTTGGTGAGTGTCAAAAGAGGTTGTCCATAACTCATAATCATGAGCCTTCCAGTTTTCTTGGATTTCCAGCCTGGACTCCGAAAGGGAAACAATAGATACAGAGCCATCAGAAAGACCCACTGTAATCAATGTAGCTGACGGGTTCCAGTCCAGGTACAGGCACATGGAATTGCTGATCTTTTCACTAGCTACTTCTTTTAGAGAAGCCCCTACCATAGAATACATAGAAAATGTTATTAACATGAGTAAGGAAATAAAATTCTGTGCCTAAGCATCTTACAATAGTCCAGTACCTCTTAAAATAACTGCCTGGTTTTTCAACCAATCTTAGGTGCTCTATTTATCACATATGCAAACAAGAGACTATAAATGTCGAGGATTATCTATATAGTTTCAACTAACAGAGGATATAGTTAGTTAAGCTAGCTAAGTTGTAGCAGGTATAGCGATTTTACTTAGTCTTATTAGTAACAGAACTCATGACAGTTGAGTACAGATGTCTATATGTACAGCAATTTATCATAATGAAATCGTCTTTCAGCAAGTTATGAGCTGATATTATATTACATTGTTTACAAAAATATCTATTCCTCCGAAACCGTACAATAGAACACCTTGTCACGTTTTCACTTCTAAAAAAAACCAAAACTTGGAACCACCTTGAAAAATAAATGTTGATAAAGAAACAAAAGAAGGTAACTGTGCACTCAAGCCAAACAATAGATAGAAGTGGCAGTGAAATATTCAATACTACTATAAAACCCCGCTACAAAATTGGCCAAACATCTGACAATCCTAAAAAGAATCAAACTTGATATAACGACCACATAGATGTCAAACAATCTCAAAAAAGGTTATGAGACTATTTATTCAGAGTATATGTACACATACAATTCATGCTTAACATCTTTAGCATACTCAAAATAGTTAATACCTAATACATTAAATAAAAGACATAAACTCCACTTTATTGTATTTTTCAGTCAAGAAAAGTAATTTGTTCTCTTTTTTTCATTTTTTTTCCCCAAAGAAAAGGCTCAAAAAGTGTGGTGGAAATGACAAAGAAAAAAAGATTGAATGCACACCTTCAGTTTCACTACAGCAACCCTCCAGCTTTTGAATTCTCAAGTACCCATCAGCATCTGCTTGACCCAGAAAATTATCAGCATGCCCTCCAGGTGGATTCCACTTTATGTCAAATATCCCAGAAGCCTCCACATGATAAACCAAGTCGAGGGAATGCAAGTCGGCATCCACATTAAAGAGTGAAATGCTTCCACATCTACTTGGTTGATCACCTTCTTTTAGTGTATAAGTGGATGCTGCTAAAACATGGTGATATGAGTTGTGTGGGCAGAACTCCACGGCATCAGCATTACCATCTAAATAGCAATGTGCTATATCCATGCTGATGTGATTGCCAAACAAGTTTTAAAGCAACTTCAAGCCACATGACAAAATAAAGTAATATTAGGGGAATTTTATCCAACAGCTATCAACCAAGCCTGAAAGGACTGTTGAAGAAAAGCAATTCAGCAGAAAATAATACATGAAATAAGCAAGCAACAATGAAGTTGTAAAACTATACAAAGACACAACTTCCACCTCCCTTCCTAGTTAGTTATTAATAACTCAACCTGAGCGCCATAAAAACAAAGTTTCCAATCAACCTGAGCACCATAAAAACAAGAAGTTTCTTGTCATAAAATAAGCTAATTAAATTTATTGGGAAACTAATACACTTCCAAAAAGAAGACATGATGTGTACAATAAATTCATGTATAATTTTATTAAGAAAAAAATAATAAAGAACATGCAGTACAAATGTATGAATTTCAAACTGTTCCTCCAAAAATGCAACAATAATATCAAGTGACGGAAGAAATCAGGCTTTATGAGTATAACTCAGAAAAGAAATCTAAAATTTTACAACCATATGCCTATATACTAGCACCTCCCTAGCTGAACAAAGGAAAAATGTTTACACGATTCTCAGGCAAAAATTCTGGAGTACTCATAATGTAAGATCGTGTGTTGCACTGATCACACTTGGCAGTAGCCTTGTATATACGTGTCTCGTATGCAAAATTAATGGGCACTAACTGTGAAGTGCTTGTGTGTTATGAATAAGTTTCATCATCACTCATCACCAGTAGTCACCACAAGAACAAGTCCCATTTCTGAAATGGTGGAATCTGCTAGCATCTCTCAACACAATTTCTCACCTGGTAACCATCGCTGTGTATTTAATTGCATTATGGCAGTCACTACATATGCGATGGCTTTGAGTTATTTGCAAAGGCATCCATTCTTTAGTGCTGATTAATCCAAAAGCTATTGCTAATTTCTCACTATGGTATTTCAGTATGCGCTGTTCTTCTTCATCTATGTCAGGAAGCAGAGTTCTGTTCTCAACAATGTAACCATGTCTTGATATCTCAAGCATCAGATCATCCACTTTTTGGTATATTTCTTTTGCTTTCAGGTGGGATTTGTCTCCAGAAAGGAAAGCAAATGACTGCTTCTTAACTTCAACCCAGGTACATACTGGAAGCATTCTTAAACCCTTCCTCTTTAAGGTGTGAACAACATCAGCAGCTTCCTTCAACTTGCCAGCTTTATTGTATATATTCAAGAGCACCACATAATTACTCAGCTTCTCAGGCTCCATTCCATATAGCTTTTCTGCTGCAAATTTCCCAAGCTCTAAATTCTCATTCATACGGCATGCTGTCAGCAATGCTGCCCACATGTTAGTCGTTGGTTTAAAAGGTGCACTTCTGATTAATGCAAAAGCCTCGTCTAAAAGGCCCTCTCTACCCAACAATTCAATTATACACGCATAATGCATTGCTCAGGGCTGAATCATGTGGTCTTGACTCATGGATTGAAAAATTTCCCAGCCTCTTTCTGATAATCCTGAATAACTGCAACCAGATAAGACAGCAAGAAAAGTGACATGGTTGGGAATCATCCCTTCAGGAAGCATCTGCTCAAACATATTCACTGCTTCAACTCCCTGACCATGTTTGCCATATCCAGCAATCAATGCATTCCAAGATATAACATTCTTGCAAGGCATCCTATTGAAAACATGTTGAGCATCTTCCATCCTACCCCATTTGCTATAGAAGTCCACAAGAGCTGTGTTAGCCACCATGTCAGAACCAAAACCATGACGAACTAAAGCAGCATGAGCTTGTTTTGCATGTTCAAGTGAAGCCAATCTAGCGCATATTCTTATGACTATTGAAAATGTAAAATGGTCCATTTTAACACCACAATTGCGCATCTCATAATACATTTCCAGAGCTTCCTCACTATAACCATGAAGCGCATAACCTGCAATAATGGAATTCCATCCTACAGTTGTCTTTTCTGGCATTAAATCAAACACAAATTGAGCATCTTCAATGACGCCACACTTACTATACATGTCAATCAGAGCACAAGACACAAAAATATCTTCACCCACACCTATTTTCAGAGCACAAGAATGGAACTGTCTTCCTACATGAATAAGACTCAATCCAGCAGATGCTCGAACCATGGTAGCAAAAGTGCGAGAGCAACCATCAGAAACTTCTTTCCACATGATTAGAAGTAACCTAAAGGCTTCCACATATCTTCCAGAGTCCACAAGTCCTGCCAGGATTGTGTTCCAGGACAATAAGTTCCTCTCAGGCATTTCGCCAACCAATTTGCATGCATCAACCATCAGACCACATTTCACATGCATCAGCAACACTCTGTTCCTCATATACAGATCTGGATCAAACCAATTAGTAACCATGTAATGGAACACCCTCTTGACGCCACTTTTTGATTTCAGACCAATGCAAGACTAATGCATCGTATGTGCTGCTACTCACATAACCATTTTGAAGCTCAAGAAATTCAAATAATTCCAATGCCTCAAAGTACCTACTGCACAAAACTAGCTTCTCTATCTGACTACATAATCCTGAAGGGGTTTTTTTAATCTGGGATTTCTCCAAGATCGGTTCTTTTCTTTCATTAAAACTGATTTCTGAAGGTTTGTGCATGGGTCGGGGTCAAAGCCCTTGTTCTATAAAAGAACAATGGATCCGTGAAGACGGTTTCCTCCATTTTCCTCTACTTAACATGCATTTATTGGACGAAAATGCAAACCCACAAGGCATTTGGATTAGATCAAACAACAAAGTTTGATGAAGAGAGGAGGGGATTCCCATGGCTCTGTATAAGAAGCAAATCTAAAGAAGGGTGAGAAGAAAGGAAAAGAGGGCGTAGTGGGGGATGAGTGGCCAACAAGTTGGAAAAGAGTAAGCAAGAAGGTGATGATAATGGAGAGGATGTAGGTGTGAACGTGACTTCAAGATGGGTTAGAAGGAAGTAAGGGAAGTCAAGAAGAGGAGTGTAGAGAAGAGTCGGCGTCAAGGAATCTACTAGATTTAGACAATGAGGAGGAATGAAAGAGGAAGGTTAGGTAGTTGCAAAGATGATGAAATATGGAGTTCCCTGGAACACCCACACCAGTCTTCAAGGCACAACCACCTATTTAAAAAGAAGAGGAAGATTTAATCAACAGAAACACCATCAAGCCAGATGCAAATTTGAATGATAAAGCTGCAACAGAACATCCTATTGCTACTAATGGGGATGGAAACAGGCTAGGCTTTGGATAAATAGGGGTGCACCTACAACAGCGGCCTAAAGCCTTTTTAAAAAGCATACTTAACATGTAGTAAAGGATTAGACTCATAAGTCATAACCAATGATACCTATGCTAAGCTAACACTTACAATCATATGCACACCATCCAAAATAGCAATCACCAATCATCAATATGTCTAAAAATGTGCCTTTTAAAAGCCACCAATCTAAAGTTTATAATTTTTTTGCACCCATCAAGCTTTACTCATGAACATAAAAAACTTTTCCAAACATACGTCAAACAATCAGAATGTTCATATAAAAATACTAAAAAATGCTCTCTTTCTTTGATTCTGCACTATAAATAAATAAAAGGTAAATTTCAAAACTCCAAAAGACCAAAAACCAATCCAAACAATCTCTGCAGAGGGCAGAAAAATTACATTAGCAAACCATTGATGCTTTCTTACTTGCTCCAGAAGACCAGAAACCAATCCAAACAATATGTGAGGAGGGCAGAAAAATTACATTAGAAAACCATCGATTTTTGTTGGGACATACGGGTAGCTAGGTGCAACTTTCTGTTCAGCAACGAGGAGAATGTTCATCAATACAATGCTGAAATAAGTTTGTACAAGGCACTCCAGGATAGGACATTACTTGGCTGTGTCAACTTGCAGGGAAGAAGAAAGTCTCTTAACACCAAGCCTGAACAAAGAAGCTATGAGGTGTGCCACTTGGAGGTGGTAGGATTGACTTCTAGGGAGGGAATCTGCACCTGCGGTGGTATTACATGGAAAAAAAGGGGGGATTTGTATCTGGGTTTTTTCAAGAAACATTTTTCTGTCTCGTATGAAGGTGCTGTCCTCAAAATGTTGATCCTAGGACTCGAATTTTGCTGAGCCAGAGGATATCGTTCTATTGAGGTGATCCTAAACTGTGTTCAAAGCTATAACATGTTTACCAGGGATATCTCGACTCACAGCCCTTGCTATGACATGTTGAGTGAAGCAAGGAAACTCACCTTAAGAGATTGGATGTTTCTCTTATTTGTTCATTGATTCTTTTGGTACCTTTGATCATCAACCCCTTCAATGTTCAGAAGGAGTAGATTTTGAAAGGTAATAGTTGTCTCTTAGTGTTTTAACTTTTTTGTAAATTTGATTGGTGATCTAATATAACGATCCTTTTCCATTAAAAAAAAAAAAAACCTAAGGATGTTTGCCTCCCAAAGTTCCAATGAAATAGCAGAAAACAAAAACAGCAAATGAGCCAAAAAAACACTATCATAAATATGATAGGATTAAATTTAAACACCCAGATCTATCAATCAATCTTCCAATATGAACTTCAAGCAGCAGACCAGACAAGCATGAAGATCGAAGAACCTGGATCGAGAAGAAGGACGACGAACCTGGCACAACGGCGATGGGAAGTGCACCAGAGGCAATGGGCGAGTGAACCAGGGGCCACGACGGCGATGGGCGAGTGAGCCAAGGCGGCGACGGGCCAGTGAAGTAGAGACAGCGATGGAAGGGCGTGGCGCGAGTGAGGAGGCAAGGACTGAGTCTGACTGGCTGAGTCTGGGAGTCGAGAGAGATGAGTGAATCTGAACTCGAAGGGCGAGAGGCTGAGTGAGGCAGAAGCGGCCCGACTCTGGAGGGAAGGAAGTGGCGAGCTGAACGAGGTTTCTCCCGCTTTCCATTTCTATTTTCTATTTTGGGAAAACACAGAGCCCGTTAAATTGTGTGTGTTTGTAATGTTAGTTTTGTTATTACTGTTACTATTATTATTCCTCATTAGTATTAGTATTACTATTACTAAATTACTAATTACTATTATTATTACTGTTACTATTTACTAAATGGAATTAAATCTGATAACATAACTCTTTAATTTTTTTTTAAATAATAAGAGGACAAACTAAAATCTAAAACCACAGTCATGTATGATAAATCTCTTGTTTAAACTCACTTTTTAAGAAATTTAAATTTAAAAAATTAATATCGTTAAGAAAAAACCAAGCATTGAAGCCCATCTTTAATCGACTTTGAAAAAGGAGATGAAGCTTGGGCGGCTTGTTTAGATTGTTTTTATCTTATCCCTAAAGATAAAATATTTTAATACTAAAATTTAAAATATATGTTTATACTATAATTTCTATTATTTATTTTAAATTTTTTAACATTATCATTTATATTTTTGAAATATGAAATATTATAATTTAATATTTTAATTTTTAAAAATTTAAAAAATAATAAATAATAAATACAAGCTTGGACATGAGTCTTATAAATAAGTGTCGGCATTGAGAAAATAATTAACTTTTGAATAATTAAACTTATGGCATATGACCTTTATGAGCTCAAACTTATATGAGCTCCTCAGCCCACGCAATAATAATGTCCTCCTCCAACAAGCTAACTAAATCAAAAGGAGGAAAAAAAATTGGATGAAAACTAACAACACAAGATAAAGCCTATTTGACGAGCACGTTAGGCTATTAATGGCTTCATTAGCATCTCACAAGATGTTATGGACTACCACACTCCAATTGTGAGTTAGTAGAGCTTGAATATCAAAGATAGTATCCATATTTGGGTTAGGAGTGGACCCTCTACTATTAAGTAGATCTTTAGCTTTAAAGTAATCAGTTTCTAGAATTAATTGTCAGTATCCAATAAGATCTTAAAAAAGTTTCAATCTCTACATACAGGCCCAGAGTTTAGCAATGAGAAGGTCACCACCATTCATTTTAAACATGAAATCAGCTTTGAACTTGCTACTCAAATTATGAGATAAAACCACCACAACTAGCAATGTTCTGGATCACAAAGAACGCATCATCCACATTCAACTAAAGCCAATCATCCTTTGGTGGAATCTAGGTGCCTCTTTGCATAGGAACATCTTTTTTCCTCCACACAATATCTTTTAGTTTGCTACAACAATCTTTGAAAGTATTAATAATAACTAAGGTCTGTGCATAAATGGTAGAGTTAGAGATAGTCTTGTAACTTTGTATAATTTTGTTATTGGTAAGATTATGGATTAGACATTGTATAAATAATATAGCTACTAATTTTTCTGTCTGTCCACCCTAATTAAATGTTTTCTTCCTTGAAACTTCTTCTATAATCCATTATGTGTTTAAAAAGAACAACTATTATTAAAACTAAAACTATCGATCATCTTCCACTAGTCTATCCATTCATTGTATGATTTTCATTCCATGAGACAAGAAAAGATTGAGCAGCTATCCAATATCCTTCTATGACATTCTTGTTTCTAAAACCTTACTAGAATTATTCACCATATTCCTCATCAGCCTATATCATTGGTAAAAATAAAAAAAAAGTTAATAATTTAATTAATTCTTAATTTCAGTGATGTAATTAAATATGACTTATATAAGAGAATAAGAGATTGGAAGGAGTATTTGGTAGGTTAATATTTCATTTAAGCCATTTTTCACCAATTATCAATGTTTTAAAGTTTTGTTAGTGCTACATACTACATAGTATGTATAAGGGATAACTTTGAATGTTTTGCTTTCTAAAGACTTAGAGTTTGGTATGGTGGCCATAGGAAAATGAGTTTGAGAAGTGACTTTGTTGAGACTTTAAATTTGATTAAAGTTGTTAAAAATGATTTTCATACTTATTGATAATTGATATTTGAATGCCAAAATTTACCTTGTTGTGATTAAAATGTTGATTTGAGTTACATGTGTATAGAAGATAATGCCAAAGCCAATCATCTCGCGAAACATGTTCTTGCACTACCCATTGGTCTCCACCTTTTGCCATTGGAGGGTGTTAGCTTCTTTATTTCTTGTTCTATAAGATAGTTGTGTTTTATTGTCTTTCTTTGTTTATACAAAGATAAAGTAGTAGCTACTAACATCATACTTGAATACTTTTTAACAAAAAATTATTTTTCATTTTATTAGAAAGTATTACTTCTGTATGAATGAGTAGAAATTTAAAATTAAAGAATATGACTTTATTATATTTTAGGAAATAAAAAAACAATATTTTATTTGAGAAGTTGAAAGAATACTCAATAATAGTTTATTGTATTCTTATATTTATATAATATGAACCAATATTCTTTTTCAGATGAAATGAAGACTCAGGATCACCCAATGAACCAATATTCTTTTTATTTGCTCAAATTGACATTTCTCTATCTCCTATAAAATTAGAAATACAAATAAAATAACATTAACTTCCTTGATCAAATGAGTGAATATTTTCCCCTATTATAACAAAGAGATGGCATTACTTGTGGGGTAGCTATGCATGGTATAACTTTCAAAACAAGTGCATGATTTGCAAATATATGTTTTTCATATAAATTATAGTATAAAATTGTCGTATTTTTGTTGGCAAAACTTTTTTCATATTTTTAAACATAAGAAGATTAATAATGAAGTTTTAAAAATTACTTCTAAAATTTTCATAATAAAAATCATCAATGGCAAAATACTTTAAAACAGAGATGCGTGATTGCAGCTATCAAAAATTGTGAATCTTCACATCGAACATTGCGAATTCACTAAGATCTTCATATTTAACGTAGATTGAATTGGAAGCCAAGATTTCAAGGAAAAAGGTAACATTTTTATTTGTTTGATTATTGTGTATCATATTCATGATTTCTAAGAATAACCTAGAAAATAAAAAAATGAAATGTTTTGGTGCTTTTAATCTCATGCTTTTGTGGTGTTGATGATGATGATGAATGCTTCCATGAAATGGATTGTTTATTCTTGGTAAACAAACACAATCCTTCTGCTGGGCAAAAAAACGAGGCAAGAACAACCATACATAATCTGGTTTGATTTATTTTCTTGTTTCAATTTTGAATTGGTTGAAATGATCTTCACAGTTCTTTCATGGGAATTGGGAATGTCCAGTGTAGTGGTATTTTACACTTCGAAATGTCTTGAAAGATCATATAATATTAATTCCAGATTTTGATTACCTAATAAAAATTTTTGTTCCCTACAATAAAAAATGCAGGGTTTTATTAAATTGTGTGCATATATAAACAATTCAATACTCGTCGTGTGAAAAATGGAGCTTTAGTATAGGAAAGCAACTGCAAACCCAAAATGAAAGTAAAATAAAATGAATAAGGATTGGTTCAAATAGTCATGACTCAAATCTACTCCCAATTTACAAAATGCCATGAATATTTAGTTACATTAGACATAAAACATGGAAACTTGCATGGATATTCAAAATCTATAAGATCATGGCATTTGACATCATGCATCATGTTAAAAATTCTCAGTATTTATCATGCACCACATTTGAATATCATAGTAATTGTTATGTAACTCACTATCCCCATAAAGAAAAGGGAGAATCACATCCAAAAACCTACAATGAAACTTATTTACACAAACAATTATCTATACGAAATGGACCGTTGTTAAAATAAAAATATAGACTTTTTTTTTAATGGGACTTGTTATTAATCTTTATTTATGAACAAATTTCTTGTCAAGTGTGATTCTCCATGAACAAATTTTTTTTTCTTCAACAGAAATCACAAGGATTAATTGTTTTCTTTTTCTTTTTCATTCTTCAGGATTAAAAGCATCAGTTTCTTAAAAATAAATTGCAGAAAATAGAGAGATTCAGATATACTATTATTCATTCAAACATGTAGAGCTTATGTTTTGGTGTAGAAATGAAGGTGGGTTTGTCCAATTTGGCCATAGTCGTGGTACCAATATTGTTGTTAAGCAGCTTGAGTCTGCAAGCAGTGGAGGGAATCAGATTTGTGATAGACAGAGAAGAGTGCTTCTCTCATAATGTTCAGTATGAAAGGGACACAATCCATGTTTCTTTTGTTGTCATCAAGATTGATTCATCCTGGCAATATACTGTAGAAGGTGTTGACATTGTGGTTAGTACCTTGCTACTTTTGTTCATAAGCTCTGAATCTGATTCCTTTTTTGGGAAATAAAATGGGAAGGCCAGAGCCTTAATGAAGACCCACAAGGTCTAAAGAAAATAAGTGTCTACAATCATGAGGAGGCTCTGTCAAAACTATAGCCTCTGTTGTCGTCAATGTTTTGAGTAAAGTAAGCAATGATGTCAGCACATTTATTTGCTAATCTGTAAACATGCTCAAAAGTTACCTTCCAATCCTGCATCAAAAGATTTCCTGATATATTGAACAATGCTGGCTCTAAAACAGATTTTGTAGTGATAAATGGGCATTTTTCTATACATCATATATATTCTAAGATGAGAAAGAACCTAAACTCTGTTGTTAGATGTAGGTAATGTTATGAGAAAGAGAGAAAAATCAATGACTTTATAACCTAGTGGCATGTAAGTTTTTCAATAAATGAGAGGTTGCGAGATCAATCTCACTTGCAATTTCATGCCGTTAGTGACTATTCCTTTAATGAGAGGAGGGGGGGACAGGAAGAGAGAAGTTAGGTAGTCTTAGCATGACAGGTGGCTCCCACGTCATCCCCTCTCTCTCTCTCGTTGCACTGATTATAGATTTATAGTTTATGAATACTTGGTCAGAAACAGAAACTTCTCACAACTAGAAGCTCATTTATGAATATTGAAACCTCAATTGCAAATAGCTAGTTTCCATGATAAACAACTAAATTGTTGATGATTTTCTGGTAAACTTTTGAAATATTTAGAACTCAAATAACAGAAATATAGAAACAGAGTTCAAATATAATTTACCCCTAAGTTTCTACTATACAGAACCAAACTTCATTTTTGAACTGAGTTTCTGGGTTTCAAAGGTAGCTACGTTGTCAACTGAATAGGGTTATTTTGATTCATGGTATTTCTTGTTAATTAAGACCAACAAAGGAAGTTAGTATTAAATTTTTATTTTTTGAATTGAAGGTAATGGGACCTTCTGGTGAAAAAGTTCATGAACTTATGGACAAGACAAGTGAGAAGTTTGATTTTGTGGCTGCAAATAAAGGCCTCCATCGTTTCTGCTTCACCAACAGGTCTCCCTATCATGAAACTATTGATTTTGATATCTATGTCAGCCACCTCACTGCCTATGATCAGCATGTAAAAGATGGTAATCTAACTACTTCCCTCTCTTGAGTTTATATTCATTTGCAAGTCCAGCTTTTCAAATTCAGATTTGGATTTTGAGTGGTTTTTGAGTTTTCAATTTAATTTTTCTCGAGATAATATTTCCCTTTCATGTCGATTTATCACTTGTTATCAAGCATGTTATTTGTTCCACATGATTTCATTTCACTTAGTATAGCAGATCACATGATATGACAAATTCAAAGATAATAAAAAAATTTCTGACGGAATTGCCAATGAAAATCAATCCAACTAATAAGAATGCAACTTATACTTAATGTGAAGTAGATTTAAATCTTGTGATGGTATGAAAATCTCGTTCATAAAAAATATGTTAATCCTTCTTTAAGTACCTTTTGAACCATGAGATTTACACCCTTAAAATCTAACACAACTACAATTTCTGTCTTAAAAAACCAAAAATTCTTAAACTAAAAATCCTTGTGCTGCATTAAATCCAAACAGTCGTTTTTCAATGGCTACACACTTGAGTACACCAGTTAGCTTTTGAAATTGATGAAATTTCAACACATTTTTGTTAAAAGAGTCTAATATGTAACTCTATATATATTGCAGAACATTTCAATCCCCTGTTGCAGCAGATATCAAAATTAGAGGAAGCACTTTACAATATTCAGTTTGAACAACATTGGCTTGAGGCTCAAACTGAACGCCAAGCAATAGGTATGTGTATATATGCACTATCATTACTTGAAACCCCAAATGGTCAAATTGTGTGTCTTATTTCACCAGCAAAATTAAAAGACACTCTTATTACCAAGAAATTAATGCATCAATCAATATCAATATACATGTCAGAAGGAATCATATCATTTACAAACGACACCGCCTATTTTATACTCCAAGCAAATAAATGCATGATATCTATTACGATTTTTACATATCATAGATTTTGCCAACATTTTCATTTTTAAGGAGTTTCTATAACCATATTTTTAATCTGCAAAACACACCTATCTAAAAACATATCATTATTCACTACAAAAACAAGCACTACATAGTAGCAGCTTTGATGAAATCACTACTATGTCTTGCACCAGGTTTGCATTTAAATTTTCTTTTATTCTCTTTTTTCGAGGAAGTTAAAAAATATACCACATCAGTGTAGGACAAACTAAGAAACCATCTTTAGTTTGTTATCTCATTTCAAATAGATTCCAAGTTCAGAGGTTGAAAACCATACTATTCACAAGTATATAAACAGTGCAACTTTTAGCAAACTTTATCTATATTATATATAATGATTTTTTGCACAGAACTAGAAGTTTTGGATTTATATGGATGCTGAATATATGTAAATGAATGAAACAAAGAGTCTAACAAATATTTTGCATGAAATGAAATGACAGCAAACAATGCATTGAGCAGCAGAGCTGTGCAGAAGGCAATTTTTGAATCTGCAGTACTAATTGGTGGCAGCTTGCTTCAAGTCTTCCTCCTTCGTCGCCTTTTTGAGCAAAAGGGTGGTCCTCCAAGGGTTTAAATTCTAAACTTGATAACTATCAATGTATGTTCTCCGATGGGTCAATTATTGTATGATTATACGTAGAGACCGCAGAATTACAAGCAAATACAATCCCTTTTTGTTCCTTTTGTTTTAAAATTTTCATGCTGCTGGAAATATTTTTCATGCAATTTATTAAAAAAAAAAAGAGTTGCATTATTCTTGCTTTTATATGTTCTAGTTGGGAGACTAAAGTTATAGGCCTTGTTTGGATATATTATATTCAACTCTTCAAAAGTGTTTTCTCTAATCTCAAATCTTATTTGGATAATTATAAGATATGTAAAATGACTTTGAAAAAGACATCAAAAGGGGATTTGCCAACAGGCCATTTGGGTGCTTTCGAAATGGAGACGTAATGTTGGAACATTAATTAAAGAGAAGTAATATGTATCTAATTTCTTATTTGACTATGTTATTCTTTGTTTTCATCATCTCTCTTTTGTGCAGAACCCTATTCTTTTAAAAAAAGTATACATTTTCATGCAATGATTTTGAAAACAAATACTCTTTCTGTTAAAATATATTAGATATTTGTGAGGGGTTGGATATTAAAAAATGTAAGATATTTTTAGTCTTTTAAGGTATAATTATTGTTTTTTTAAAGTATTTTTATTAAATAAATTACTTTATATTTATTTTAAGGTGTTTATAGGGATAAATATAGAAAGATAAGATTAGTTTAAAAATAAATAACTACTTTATTGATGGTGAGATTCAATTAAAATGTTTTATATTTTTTAATAAAAGGAGTATATAAATGATTATATATAAATCTTAAGAGCTTTAACAAGAAAACAGTTTTCTTGTTACCATCATTTCTTGTAGTTTGTCATTTTCCTTTCATTTTTAAATAACTAAGGTTAATCTCAAAATACATCTAATACTTTTTAAATTAGTAAAATGACAATTTCAAAGTGCATCTAACAGGTTTTTTTTTTTTTAAAAAAATCAAAATAGGTGGTAGAATAGCCCATAATCGTCTACCACAGAGTAATAAACCAAGAATGACACAAGCAGAAATGAGGACGTTAGTTGCCGCAGAGCCACGAACGTAGAGCGGGTTAGTTTTAACACCACCGCCATTATTTTAATTTTTTTTTGAAATATTATTTTTTAAAAATATTTTTTACATTCATGTGAACTTCAACTTCAAACTTTCTACATTCATACTTTTTTAAAAAAATTCATTATTTTTTTTAAATTTCATGATAAAGTAATTTTTTTAAAAAAATTATCAATATCCCATAATTTCATGTAAAAAAAAATATTTTTTAAATTAATGTCATAATTTTTTTAAAAATTATAAAAATATTTTAGGAAGAATGACAAAGAGATATTAAAAAAATCAGTTAATTTAAATTAAATTTTAAATATTAAACTTTAAAAATTTATAAATATATTTTTTAATTTTATAATTGTATTGTAATGAATTTATAATTTTTTTAAATTTTAACATTAAAAATAAATTTTTTAACTAAAATTTAAAATATAAATTATCAAATTTATTATAATAAAATGATAAAATTAAGAGATTAATTATAAATTTTTAAAAAATAATATTTAAATTTTAATTTAAATTAATTGATTATTTTCAGGTATCTCGTTCACCAAATGGAGCATACATATAACATACATACATGCATATATGTATGGGCTCTTCTGTTTGTCCCGGCAAGTAGCAATTCAATATTCCTCCGCGAAACCTAAACGCTCGATTCATCAGCCAAAATGCAGAACTGGCGAGTGACGATGAAGGCTCAGAAAATTGCCAGCTGGGCACTCGCACGTGCCTTCAGCTCTGTCTCCTCTGCTTCACTACCTCAATCGGGATCGGCTTTCCCTCTGAAAACCGTCACCAAATCAAACTTCGATGCCTCACTAGCTGAACTTCGTTACCATGTCCAAGCCGCGGACTTCGTCGCCATTGACCTTGAAATGACGGGAATCACCAGCGCCCCATGGCGGGAGTCCTTCGAGTTCGATAGCTCCGATGTTCGCTACCTCAAGGTTAAGGATTCTGCGAATAAGTTTGCCGTCGTACAATTCGGTGTCTGTCCCTTCCGCTGGGATTCTTCGAAGCATGCGTTTATCTCTTATCCGTGAGTATTGTTCTTCGCCTTTTCCCCCTGTATCTGAGAAAATTCAATCATAGTAGAACAAAATTATTAGCTCAGCGCGAGGGAATTTTTAGTATATTCGTGTTATATTTCAACCTCCAAGTAATAAAAAAGGTTTTTTTTTTTTTGTTTTTATGTTATGGGAAGTTGTTCATCTTTCCTTAACTACAAGTGATAGATGAAGGCGAGAAAGGAAAATATTCTCATTCAAGTCACTGGAGTACAGAGCATAGGACATACTTCGTCTCTATATACACACAGCCTAATAAAAGTTGATTATAATATTAAAAGCATATCAACATTTCAGTTTTGTCTTTAATTATTGTAAATAAAAATAATTTTTTAAAGTAAATTAATAAAAATAATTATCTTTTTTTTTAATTTAATAAAAATATAATGATTTATTTATTAAAAATATGTTAACAGATTTTTATATTTAAAGATAAAAAAAATTGTCAAAAACCATTTATGTATTGGGACAGAGGGAGTATACCCTATCCCAATTTGGACGGCTCCTAACTAACTTCCTCACAGTTTGTTAATCCCTTTATTCCTTCTAATACATTCTGTTACAGCCCGCGCACACTTCACTTTGGCTTGTAAGAACAAGCATTCAAATAGAGTTTGCGTGACTTATGGTTCTGCTCTAAATCAGCATAACAATTTGGTTCTTTCCATTTAGAGTGTGAGGCATCTGCTTCAAGAAGTTTTCCATGTGCTTCATTTATGTGAATTTATGGAATATATTTCTTCTAGTATTTTTAATTTATTTTCTTTCTTTTGATGGAATTATTTGACTACTGTTCAGATTAAGAAAATTCTTTTTGACAGGTACAATTTTTATGTTTTTCCACGTCAGGAGCTTGCAGGTTTGGGTCCTTGTTTTGAGTTTCTCTGCCAGACTACTTCCATAGGTTTTTTGGCTAAATACCAGTTTGATTTTAATGCATGCATACATGAAGGTTGGCTTACTTTTCCTTCTTTTACCTGTGGTTACCTTTGATGTCAAGCTGGTTATTATATTGGTTTGCTTACTTTATTTCTGGCAACGACTCATTCAAAGCTTAAGTTGTTATGTGAAGGTGCTATTATTGTAATCTTTAACAATTTCTTTGCTGGGAAAGGTAAAGATGTGGAAACCTCCCTATTGGATGTTTATAGTTTGAATTCCTGCATTGTTCATTTGTTCTGAGAAAAAAATGGTCCATAAACTGAGGGTTATGGATTGGCAAGCTGGAAACACTTTGGGACATCTTTGGAAATTAGTAGTTGGTCAATGTTCCAACAATAGTCTGTGAATAGGATGGCATTCGATCTGTCTATACAAATGTCAACTCAAGTTCTTAATGTACTTGTAGTTTGAGAATTTGTAACCTTGGATAATGTCAGGAATATCTTATTTATCCAGAGAACAAGAAAGTGAAGCTGTAAGGTGCTTGAATACAATTAATGATAGTGACGGGTTTGATGAAGATTCAAGGTTTGGCATGAAGAATGTCAAAGACATACCGTCAGTCAGTATGTCAGATATTTTGTTCACTGAACGAGTGAAAAACAAATTCAGTGAATGGCGTGATGGGTTATTTCAGGACCAAGATGGGGAAGACAAAATTCAAAGATTCTCAGAAGATTCAAAACAGCAACTTCAAGTCATTTTCTATAAGATGCTTCCAGCTCTTAGACTTTGTGGATTCACCTCTCATCAGCTTAAGTTGATTAAGTTGGTAAGGTGGTTTAGTCTTGTTTCCTAAGTGAATATGTTTACCAGAAGTGAATATGATTGTCAGAATTGGTGACATTGTAGTATCATACATATATTAGGTTCTTGGAATGGCTGTTGGTGAATGGGTTTAAAATTTTGCAGGTTGTCAGAAAGCATTTCAAAGATATTTTTTATGTCAGTGTAAACAGCGAGGATTCTGGTTTGCAACACATGGTTGTGTATACAGACTCAAGGGATGAACTGAAATCACTTCTGGTAAGATGTCAATAAACTCCTCAAAACTGGCTCTATTCTTTTCCTTGTGACAATGCAATATGTGCTCGACATTGCTGATGACAAATAGTATCTGACTGCATCATGGATGGGTGAAAAAGGAGATATTGGTTTTTGTGCTGATTGTATTTGTTGATCACCGCCAAAATTGATTAACTTAAATTAAAAATATAGAGGCCTCTACCATCTCTATTTTGAATGGATAAGATTTTCTTGGAAACTGGTCTTAATCCTTTCGAATGGACACCAATTAAATATACTATAAGTAGTTTTATGTACTCTGGTAATAGGTTTGACATCTAACTTATGAGTGTGAAGGTTGAGAAATGAAAACAGAACTTGTGAACTGATATTCAGTGGTATCTTTGCAGTTTATTAAGTCATTGAATGTGTATGCATTAATCTAATGCAGAAAGAAGTGCAAGATGAGCATCAAAGGGAAGTAGAGATGAAGATTCAAGCTGCGGTAGGATTCCGTCATGTTGTTGACCTCCTTTCCTCAGAACAGAAGCTGATAGTCGGTCACAATTGCTTTTTGGGTATCAATGCCATTCTCAATCCTAAACAAGCTTTATATTTTTTTTTTTATGCATTACTAAGACGATACGATTCTATGATGCAGATATTGCTCATGTATACAGCAAATTTATAGGTTCTCTTCCAAGCACTGTTCAAGACTTTGTCTCCTCTGTTAACAAGTATTTTCCATACATTGTTGACACCAAAATACTCTTGAATGGCAATTATTTGCTCCAAAAAAGGATGAAAAAATCCCCAAAATCACTGGCCTCTATATTTGCCTTTTTGTGTCAACAAATTGCTGTTGGATTCAAAAGCAGTGACGTAGTTTCTCTGACAGCCATGAAAGTGGAGATCGAAGCGAATGATTCAAGGTTTGGTTCTCTATTCTTTGTTATGAATACTGACCGAGTAATTTGTTATTTAACTTATCCTATTAAAAACCTACAGTAAAGAAGATGGTGGTACAGATTTTGTGTGTATTTCAACATTGTTATTTTTGTGATGCATATTGAAGGGGACATGTGATGCCAAATCATGTGTGAAAATGAAATCTATTATTCTACTTTTGAGTTCTTAAATGAATCCACCAAACCTTCATGTTGTTTTACCTTCACATATAGTCATTTTTATAGGCATCTTCCAACAATTTTAATACTTGATTAGGCCCATCAGTCCACACAATTGTCCATGTACCATAGAACATACAGTAGCTATCATGGTATTTGTTTCTTAGGGAAACTGTAGGTTAAGGAGTCTTTTTGGCTTCATAGTTGTGAGTATAATAAGAAAATTCATAATATGATCTTTAAGACTAGCTTTGAATCAGGCATTTGCTTTTGTTTGTGTTTTGGGTCACATAAATCCCTCCATTCAACTCCTGGATCCTCATTCATAGATACCTTGAGTTAGGGTTTGGTATCCTGCCCTTTTGATCACCACTGATGGTTTCTTGTTCCTTCACAGGAGAAAGTATCCCTAAACAAAAATACAATAACTTAAAATGAAAGTTGCCCATTCTGTGTCCAAGTAATTCTTATTCCTCTATCAAAATTTTGTTGGTTCTTTTTCTTTCTGCAATCTTCCTTCAATTTGCTGGATCATCACTGCATGACCAATTGTAGGTCTCAAATCCAGCCAACTGCTGCCAATACGTTGTAACTATAGTGAAACATTGATATGCAGCCATCTCTTCCTGTTTAAATCTTGGAGAATTCTATCTCAGAAAGGGCTTCTGTTCACTCGAGGAACTGGCCTCCTGAGCAACTTCCCAAATGCTTTTGATTTTCACACACGGGAGAATTCTCTCCAATGTCATTTGTCATGGAGTAGATGAACCTTGACTTGACCATATTTTGCCCTCCAATTTTTGAATTTTGAATCAATTTGTTCATGCTGTTTGGTTGCTCTAAGGAGCTAGTTTTCCTTTTCTCAGCCTCAAACATACTTCAAAACAAAGTGAGACTGCTGAAGATGGTTATGTCCATATAGATGATATTGTGATGAGAACATGGGTGAGTTCGTTCGCTCTGGCTGATCGAAGTGGTGAGTAGTGGCGTTTTTTCTTGGTGTTAACGACATTGGTTAGCCAGGTTTGCTCATAAAGAAAGATCAGGCCTTGGGAACTCCATTGTCACGAAGATTTTCAAAATAATATTCCTCTGAAATTCATGCTGTTCATTGATAGGAACAAAATTCATATATATATAGATATTGAGACAGTGAGCAACATCTCTGCCAATCAATTCTGGTAAAAAGGATGCAATATGACTGAAAACAGTAACAATAAATTATAGGGAATAGAAAAGGAAAACCAACTTTGACGGACAGAGTATTAAAGCACTAGAGTAATGATTGTGATATGCGTAGAATATAAGTTAATATCATAAGATTTCTGGACTTGTAATTTTATTTTAATCGAACTAATATTGTCTCCTATGTTGTTACTCTGTGGAATCTGAAGGGCCATTGTAGAAGCTCCCATGATACCAGCATAATATGTACACTTGCAGGTCATCTAGCTGGAACCCTGGAGGCAAGCATGAAGCTGGATATGATGCTTTCATGACCGGATGCGTCTTTGCCCAGCTGTGCAGTCATTTAGGTGTTGATTTTAAATCCAATGACTCTTCACAACATTTAGCCCTCAATGAGAAAATTCGGAAGTACATCAACCTTCTTTATCTTAATTGGTTGCATGGGGACATTATTGATCTAAGTACCGGTGATAGAGTTGGAGATTTTGGGATTCATGACCTCAAGAGACAACAACGGCAGAAGATTTTGTTTGAGAATGTAGTTCTTATATGGGGACTTCCTTTCAAGCTCAGGACAAGTGAAGTAAGAGATTGTATAACCAAAGTTTATGGTCCAACTTCTGTAGTTGCAGTCTATCGCCTGGATGAATCTGCAGTGTTTGTCCAGCTCAGCAAGACTGAACTAGTCTCGGACTTTCTTTCATTGAAGGACAAATTAGAGGGACCGGGTAGTCCACTTTCGGTTTCACATCCTTTTGCAAAACTCTTGGAAGGTGGAAACACTTGTGCTGCTTCTTATGATACTTACAAAGAGATTTGTGGTTCCCCACTTTCAGAAATTTTGTTTGCTGATCAGGCAAAGGCGGTTGGTATAAAGTGGAAGACAAAATTAGTAGAACACAAGGCTGCCCTGGAAACTGAAGAGAAGATTGAGCCAACCACACTTGACCAGTTAGGAAATGCTGTTGAGAAGTGCATGTTTTTATAGTTAAATAGGTATAGATTTTGAAGTATATTGAATGAAATTTATAAATATTTTATATCCATTTAGTTTATTTTATCTATTTTCCCCCTCTAAATTTTATTGTTAGGAAAAATAGAATTTGGATAGGAAATCTATTTATATTTTCTCCTTTTTTTTCCCATATAGGAAAAATAGTAAATCGAGAATAAATAAGGAAAATCAATACATGTAGCGCCCATGAGATAGAGGAAAGGAAGCAGCAGTTTTGCATACCCTCGAGCAAGCGGCGAACAAGCGCGCACACGCAACGCAATATAATATATGTAATTATGCATACAAGGAAAGCAAGCTGGAGAGAGAAGAAAGAAAAGATAGAGCAGTTATTTGAAAAGATACAAGGAGGCCAAACTTCACGTTGATGGTTTGGTTAAGTATAATGGAGTTACTGGTAGAGGAATTATGAGATAACAAGCGGAATTAGATCAAAGGGTTTACAAAGAACCTTGGTTATCAATTTAGCACTACAGTCGAATTGATAATAATTTTGGAAGGGCTTAGCATATGTTAGGATAATAGGATTATCAAAGTGAATGTTTATTTTGATTTTATAGAGGCCCGTTCCCTCATTAAAAGTAATTTCAACTAAGGCCATCCTCTTGTATCAATTTTAAGGAATATCCGTAACCTCACAATGAGAAATTGAGAGATCACTTTTGATCTCGTCTATAGAAAAGTCAACTGATGTGCTAATTTTCTAACTTACAAGACTTTGAGGAATTATTTCAATATTACTTTATTTGACATACTGCTTATTGATTATAGAAGTCTTATGGCTTCTAATATGACCTGATTTTGGTCTCTTTATATGATTTTTTTACCATGGCCATGTATAAAAAAAAAGATAGAGTAGTTAAAAAAAGAAGGTGAAAAAGCAAGAGATGTACGAGCTACTTTAATGTTTGTTTTTCAAATCTGTTTTTTTAAATAAAAAATAAAAAAATTATTTAAATAAAAGTTTTGAATTTAGTTGATGTCAAAACTATTCTCATATTAAAAATAAAAAATAAAAACATTTTAAATATGCTTTTTTATTTTTTTTTATTTTCAAACAATACGGCAATTGATTATTAGAAATTATAGTTAGTTTAACTAATTGGCATGATAAGCTATCACTATTAATAATTAGTGATCACTACTATCAATTGATTTTTTAATTCAAAATGATTTTGAAAACATTTAAATTCAAAACAGATAAATAATTTTTTTTATTTTTTGTTTTTAAAAATAGAAAATAGTTTTTGAAAAAGAGACATAGGATATTGGAGTTCTACATGGATTGGGAACGAGATAATTAAGAAATTCTGTACATCTTAATTATTGAGAAACTGCATAAAGTGGAAGATAACCACACTTGACCAGAAAAGAAATGCTGTACCTCGCGATCAAGTCTCAAACGATGAGATCTTGGCATCATTTTGAGCAGCTGAGGTGAAACAGATCAATGCTGCCAATTTTTAATGATGCGATAAGATTTAGATAACTTATTTCATGTGTTTGCCATCAATTTTTTCAATCGAAATACATGTAAAAAAGGTAAGTTTTATTTGAAAATATCAATCAGGAACAAATAAGTTATGGGCCAGCCTGCATGAGATTGAAAAAACCCAACCCAATCTCCTCTTTTTGTGGTCTGGGCTAACCCATCCCATTTTTGAGAATGCATATATTTTTCCAGCCCAACTTGCCAAAATTGACAAGCTAAAAGGTTAGATCGTTGGGTTGTGCTAGTTTTCCTGGCTTTAATAAAGCAGTATCAAATGATTAAAAAAAAAAATGATGTTCTTACTGAAAATTTGATGGCAAAACTAATAACTTTAGCTTAGTTTTGTCCTTTGTAATTCCTTGATTCTCGGTTTTGTAGGCCATCAGCATATATGTCATATATGTCAGTTTCAAGACTTGGCTGCTGAGTAATGCATTGATTTGAGAAAGTAGGTAACAAAGTTTGTAGCATTTGATGAAATTTCACATTATATGACTTTGATATGCTCCATATACAAGATAAAAATTTTACAAGTTGCATCATTTATAATAAAAAATAATGTGACTCATTTTTTAAATTTTATGCAATGCACAGACTAAAATCAATTATTTGTTAATAGTGGCAAGCTAGCAATTGTTTTAGATTTGTGATTGATGAAGTTCATTTTCAAAGACATTGTTGTATTCAAACATGACATAATTGCACTAACTTGGTAAGAACATGTTTAATAGAATTAAACTAGAAGAGGGGTACATGGTAAGAAATGATCCAAAAACATAACTTCATAGATTTTAGGTCATTGAACTAATTTATAATGATTTTTGTGCATTAAGGTCTTTTAGTTTTGATTTGTGTATAGTTATTTGATTAATCATCCTATCATATGATACATATATAGAAGATCGATAAAATTTTTAACAAATTATAATATTTACAAGTTATAAATAGTTTAATATATTCTTTAAATTCCTTACAATGCATAGACTCATAATAATTATTTGTTAATTGTAGTCACTATTTGAGACTTGTAGTTGATAAAATTCGTTTCCAAAGACTTGGTTTTGTTCAAAAACATGACTTAACTACACTGACGTGGTAAAAAGAAGTTTCATGTTCAACATAATTAAACTAGAATAACGGTACATGATACGAAAGGACCTATAAGCATAACTTCCAAAAGTTTAGACCCTTGAGCATAACTCTGAATGGATAGTATCATGAGAGTGTGTTCAAATATTTGACTCATGTAGCCGTTACAATAAATATTCTGCTTCTGGGGACTCTCTTTTCTTTGTTTTTTTCAATGGTTGTTGTTTTCTAGTCAGTGTCACATGGTCCAAGTTCAGAGGTGGAGGTGATGATGGGAACACCAATCAAGTGCTCTGCTGCGCACTTCCAATTTTTTGAATAGTTGTACAAAACCTATAAAACCATTACTGAGACGTAACATGAGAAAAATTTACAACAAGCTTTGTTTTTTTTTTTTAAATCATTACTGAGATGGAACATCGGAATCTTAAAAAGGGATATAACCCAAAAAAGAAGGTCAGTTTCATTGTATAACTGAACTCTTATATGGTGAGTAATACACAAGACATTGAAGTTCAACAGATTGGTTTTGAACTCAAGTCCCTAAACAGACCTTCCCTAATGAAGAATCCTCCACAAAGAATCAAGAAATGAAATGAATGACTAAGTCGACACTTTCAATCAATTCTTATCTCGCACAAAGATTTGTCAGTACTGGACTCCTCATCACTCTCTGAAACAATCTCATCTAGACTCAAAGGCAAGCTACAAGAGAAGGTGAGGCATGGCTTCACCTTTGGCACAAGAAGTGTGCTTGCTGCTTCATGGTTGCTGAGAATCTGCAAAACCCTGGTCATAGTGGGCCTTTCAGCACTATCTGGGTTTGCACAGCTCAACCCCAAGAGCAACAGTTTCTTCATCTCTTCCTCTGTGAATTCTCCATTCAATCTTTTATCAGCTGCTTCAAGTATCTTCCCCTGAGAGTGAAGACCCCAAACCCAATCCACCAAATTGACCATGTTTTGGCCTTCTCTTTCAATTGGCCTCCTCCCACATGCCACTTCAAGAACAACCACACCATAGCTGAAAGCATCAGTTTTCTCAGTAGCCATCCCATACTGAAGGTATTCAGGCGCAAGATACCCCATTGTTCCTGCTGTTAATGTTGAAACTGGGCTTCCGTCATGATCCATCAGCTTCGCCAATCCAAAATCACCCAACCTTGGGTTGTAATTTGCGTCTAGCAATATGTTTCCGGTCTTAATGTCTCGGTGAATGACTCTTTTCTCACATTCTTGGTGAAGGTAAGTCAGAACAGAAGCCAACCCAATAGCAATATTAAGCCTACGAGACCAGTTCAACAAGTTCTTCTGGCATTCTTCAGATTCTTGATAGAGCATCTTGTCTAAGCTTCCATTGGGCATGAAGTCATAAACAAGCAGCAATTCTCCTTTATCTACACACCAACCTTGAAGCTGAACCAGATTCTTGTGCCTCAAACCAGCTATGATGGAAAGTTCAGCTAGAAATTCTGTTTTGCTATCATGAGAGTGTCTTGACCTTTTCACAGCGGCAATGGTTCCCGAAGGTAGAAACAGGGCTTTGTAAACGGTCCCAAATGATCCTTGGCCAATGATCCTACTTGAGTGAAACCCTTTTGTGGCTACTTTCAATTCTTTGTAACTAAATTCCTTAGGACAAGCCATTAACTCAGTTTTCACTCTCTTCGGTGTGCTGCTATTCCTCCATTTTCGTACAGAAATACACCCCAAGCTTAACAGAACTACACAGAAAAAAGCTGGACCAGCAATGGCTACACCTAACCCAAGCCTTTTGTCATGCTTACTGCTGGAATTATTTGAGGATTTCTTATGAATGTCCTCTGTTGCACTCACAAAGCTATCAGAAACATTACGAGAATGAAACTTTGGTGATGTTGCAGGAATAGATCCGTTACTCTGAAATCTCCAGCTCACAAGCTGATGAAGCTCAGTGCTTCCCTCAGTAGAAGCAGAAAACCCCACATACGCAGTCTCATTGATATATCTAGAGAGGTCAAGATCATCAACATTCAGAATCGGGTTCTCAGGCTTCAAGTTTGAACTAGAATTGGAACTCAAGAACAATAGGAGCTTCCTCTTTTCACTGTCGTAATCGATCCAAGCTGTGATCAATTCCCCACTCTTGAGATCAATGCCCTGTGAGATGGTATCACCGGTGGCGTTGATCAAAGCGACGCCGTTTAGATCCAACTCAACGCCATTATCACTGGGGTTGAATTCCACGGCGACGAAGTCCGAACAGGTCAATTGGGAGGAACAGAGGAGACCCGAATACCCGCCTGAGCTCCCAAGAGTGTGGTTGGCGGGAAACAGAAAGAAGGATAAGGAACCATCAACGAGGGAAGGAGGATTGTTCAGGTTGTTGGTGACGGAGAAAGCGAACGATGTTGAGAACGAAGAGGAAGTGTTTGATTGTGGGTCGAAGAGACAGATGGGATTGTCATAGATCACGGCTCCGGCGCTGGAAGTGGGAACGTCGGAAGACCTGGTGAGGCCGACGACGCCGTTCCGAAGAAAGGAATCGCCAATGAGAGTGATGTTGCGAAGAGATGTGAAGGAAGGGAATTCGAATGTGAGGTTTTGTTGTGCGAACACTGTTGTAGGATCAAAGAAGCACAAGAGAAAGAAAAGAAGCAGGGTGCTTGCTGAACACATTATAGTCTAACTGATAAGAAGAGTATGATGATCAGAGAATGGAGAAAATGACGATGATAGAGACGGGGGAAGAAGAAGAAGAAGACGAAGATGGGAAATTGCGAGGCTCCATTCCAACCGTTAGAATGAGTGCGTGTCGGCAAATGTTTTTAAAAATGGATTCAACTGTTGTGTTGGGCAAATTGAGAGAATCTAAGAAAATGGTGGGACCTCTTTTGCCTTTTTAATCCCACTTTATAGACACTTTATTTTTACCTGATAGAAAAAAAGAACACTGAAATTTTTGGCCCTCAAAGGAATCGGACACCCCGATCATTCATGCAGGTAGACATGAGTCTTTCCATTTTTTGGTGGAATACTCTTTCCATTTTTATGTCTTAAATCTACTTCATTTTTTTCAGTTTTATTTTTCATTTAATGTCAACTTTATTTACTAAACCTTAAATGCTTGAATTTGTAATAAGTCATTTATAACAAGTCATTTCATTTATTTAATACCTACATATTAAAAATATTATTTAAATTCTATAATTTATCTTTTGACTAAAAACTAATCAAATTTTAAAATTTCTTCCTCCAAGAATATATCCATATAATATAAAAGTTATATTAAAAATTACATTATTTCTATGTTTATTTTTTTCTATCCAAAATATTAGTCATTTTTTTGTTCAACTAACTTTGGTTCAAAATATCGAAAGTTCAGTATTTTTCAAAAATTATTTTTCTCATTTTATCCTTATATTTATTAACTTAATTTATTGTGTAGCATGAGAATTTACCACATCATTTTCAATCTATTGGTCAATTCTATATTATTTTGACTTTTTCACTTGACATCTCTCATTAAAATTTATTGATAAAAATACCCTCTTTTTGATTTAATTCATCATTGATAGTTGAGACAAATGATAAAAAGAAAAAACTATACATATATATATATATATAACTAAATTTGATTGGTATACAATGTTGGAAGATTAAAATGGTAAGGCAATTAATATGTTAATTACCTAATTTATTATTAATCCTTAACCTTATATAAAGGGTTGAATATAGTGTACTAAGGTAGGGGAAAGTTGTTATATAGTATAGTCTCACATTTTCAAATGTAACATGGCGGGGTAGTATCATAGACTAGTAAAGTACACCAACAATCCCTCAATAATATCCATTTGTGCTTGCTTGATACCATTCTTGACCTACTGTGTCCCAAATATGAACCTTGATAACCTTATCATCGACTCAAATGCTTTTGATACCAATGGTAGACTTGGATTCAAGGCTAAATTCATTCTTGGTGAACCTTAACAAGATATTTAATTTGTCTATATTCGAAATCCAGATCAGCATGACTTTAAGCAAATAATCATAATCATCAATGGTTATGTATGCCCCCAATTGTCACACACACTTTTTCTTGAGTGGTAGGCTAAGAGGGAGAAAGAAGGGAGGGAAAAGAAAAATTAGAGAAATTTTCTTTTGAATTGTTTTTTCTTAGAGAAAGGGAGTGTTAACCCTTTATATAGGCTTAAAGATTGATAACAAACTAGGTAATTAAAAAACTAATTACTTTATCATTTTAACTTTCTAACATGCAGATTATAATTAAAATTTGTTCAAAATTTAGGGAGAATTGAATTTTTAAACTATGAAGTAGGGACTCAGCAATTTAATTGTATCATACTTGTATTTGTATTTATGGAGCTTTTGATGGTCAGGGTATTTATAAAGTTTTTCTTTTGTTAGAAAATTTTTATGGGATTTAAAGCAAAAGGTGTAATAACATTAAATCAAACAAGAAAAATAGGGGGTTGCAAATTCGATTGATCCAATCTACTTCTCTAGTGATACCATTTCTCACAGCCTAAAGACAAGAAGATTTAGATACTAGATGTTGTTTGCAAGTTCATATGTCGAAGGGTCTTTATCTATGCAAAGTTTTTGGCTCCCCTCTCCGTCTAAACTTGTAGAAGAAGATTCTATCGGTTCCAACCATGGGTTTAGAGACTAATATGGCATAAAAGATGGGTAGGGTGTTTTCATTCATCCCTTTAACATCTTATTTCTTTACTTTTGGGGCCTAAAAAAGAAATCCAATTTGGGTCTTGCCTTTCTCACTCCCTAACTTCAGTATTTGAAAATTTTATATATTGTATTTATGTTGCCATTAATTGCTTTTAGTTGTGTTCTAGCGTGCTTTGTGTGATCGCGTGTGCTTTTTTGCATTTTGTAGGTCAGATTTGGGGTGTCCTTTGTGTTGTCCATTGATTTTCATTTCTATTATGTTTTTAATGTGTTGTGTTTATGTTTTTTGTTGGTTTTCCTTGTTTATCATTTCAATAGGTGAATTGAAAAATATTTTGATGTTGTCTCTTTGGATTGGGCTTCATGAGAATGCTTTCTATTTTAATGATTTTTGAAGGCTTTGTTATTGCACAGTGACTTGGCTGGTGCTAATAAGTAAATCAAAGGAGCATGCAATAAGACTTAAAACTCACCATGATAAACTCTTCCTCATTATCCATATGGTCAAGTTGGGAGTTAGAGATTTCTACTGGCGTGCAAGTGTTTCCTATACAGGGACCATGGATTTGGCATCTTTGTCAAATCTCTCCTTGTTGATTTCATCAAATCCATTAGGGGTAGGTGTTGATAATTACCCTTTACAAGGTTTAATATAGTGGTATAGCTCCTTCATTTTTCTATCCTTGTGAAGAGTGAAATTACCTTTGCATCCCTATAGTAGTTTTACTCATTTTAAGGTGTTATGCTTGTTTTTCTGGCATTTTCTTTGGCATGGTTGAGCTTTTTCACATGTACAAATATGTTATGCTTTTAGATTATTTTATTATGGGTTACGAGTTATTAGTTTGTCTTAGATGTGTATATCTTGTTGTCTTTATTGTAATTATGTTTTCTTATTAATGCATTTGCCTTTCACCCAAAAAGACATTAAAAAAAAATAGTATCAATGCTCAATGGCCAGGGATGGAGTGAACATTTTATACATGGGAGGCAAAATTTTAAATAACATAAAATATAGGGGAGCTAAAATCAATTTTAGCAATCTTAGTAAAGAAAATTTTAAAAATGTTCAAAGGGAATTGGGAAGTACGTGCCTCTGGGAAGTGTCTCCGTTGGTTGCCATAGCCCATCCAAAAGAGAGCAATTTTTTTTTTATAACTCACATCAAATATTTTTGATGAAATCAAGAAAAAAATTAACATTTATTTTTTATCCAAAAATTTAATAAATTTATAACTTTATTTTTATTAAATATACAAATTTAATAATATTAAAGGCTAGCAAATCTCAATTATCATGGTCTAATAGGTTAGAATAATGGTTTGATGGATGGGGTAATAATTAGATAAAAAAATAACATTAAATACATATAAAAATATATATAATAAATAAACTAACAATGTGTTTAATTATTAATAAAATAATATAACATGAACATAAATCAATAATAGTGTAAATTATAATTTGGGTCAGAGGAAAAATTTGCCTTAGAAGTTTTCTACCAAGTATTTCTGTTATCTTTAACTTTTGATTTGTGTAATATTATCTTGAAAGTTTCAAAAATGGTGTAATACCACCCTACAACAATGTTTGACAATGTTTTTTTTTTCCAAAATAATGTTGACAACATTAATCATTATTTTGAGCGTTAGAAGGAAATTTTGCTTCTAAAATTTGTTTGAAGGAAATTTTTGATTGGCACATTATTTTTGCATTATCAACTTTCAAATCAAAAGAAAGACTTAACAAATTGTCATAACTCAAAATCAAAATAAGATTTTAGGTTAGATTATATTGAACACCTCCCAAGTCCAAATTCAGACTAATCTATGTTGCCCTCGAGAAGGTCTGAACAACTTTGTATTTAAATATGTGCAAGTCAAGACTGACTCATGGAAAAAATAAAGGCAAGTACAGATTTTAAAAGAGAATTTGTAGAGTGCTTGGGGTAAAATCAATTTTTCATCAAAGTAATATCAGATAAAATCTCAATTCGAAATCTAGAAATATGAATCATTTTTAATAATGAAAATGGGTTGTAATAATTTTCATGCATGATCATGCTCAAAAGTATTTGCATTTGAATCAATAGGTGTCAATATCATATTAGAAAAATGATCCCAAATTATATTATATCACCATTATCAAAATTGGACTGGACGGATTGATTCGATTGGTTGAACTAAGAATCGGTCTGATTCCACCTAAAAATCATTTTTCCTGTGAACCGTTGATTAACCAATTGAACCTACTGCCAATTGGCCAAAACCAATAAAGTCGACGAAAAATCGGTTGAACCGGCCATATTACTTTTTTATTTTTTATTTTTAATTCATATTTCTAAAATGTAATTTATACATATTTGTAACAATAAGTATGATGACATTAAAAAATGCAAGAAATATGAATAAATTATGTATATATATATATATATATTTTAAAGTTATAAATTATAAATTATGAAATAATTATACATATTTTGAATGAAAATGATGTCATAAATTATAAATTATCTTGTTTGAAATTTATATATTCATTTTTCTTGTTATATATAATTATTTCTTTCTACTTTAAATATATAATATTTAAAATATATCAATTTATTTATAATCGATTGGACCTTGGTTTAGTGGTCTAACCATTGAACTGTGAACCGATACTTTAATCAATTTAATGACCAGTCTAATTTTCATAGCATTGTATTATATATATTTACAGGATCCAAAATTGAAGTTAGCTTTTAGTAGAATTTAATTTTTAAATTTTCTAATAGTTCTTATATTATGTTTAAACATGTCCACTTCTTTGAAAACCAATCTCATTTCTAGCTCATCTTTGATTTCCAATTCAACTTTGGTCAATCCCAACTCAATTATAAAAATAATTTTTTAATTTAAATTGACTCATTAATAACTTTGCTCAACTGTCTAACTAATTAGATCATTTGGTTCGGTTCGTAAAATAGTGACATAATAATAACATGAAAATAAAATGATTTTCATTTAAAAAACCAAAGAGGAATCTAATTCTAAAAAGGTAGGAGTTATGTATATAACCTTATATATTTATATCAAATCAAATCATGACATGTAAATTTTAATGTAT